ATGATTTCATTGTATCGCTGTTAAGTAAATGATTGAATTCATTTTGATTTTGAATTTCATTTAATGATACAATAGATAGAGAACAATTATTACCAACATAGCATTCTTTGACACCTTGGAATAAACCTTTGTATGTTAATCCGGTTTTGATTTTAATTGATTCGTAAAGCTCTGATTTTGATAGTTTAGTAAAGTTACATTTATTTCTTATTTCATCAATATTTATTCGATTTATTTCGTTACCATGTTTGAATAAACTAAAGTTACCAGCAGAACATAATATCCAATGATTTGAAATTGTATCTTTAAAGTGTGATTTGACATTGTATTCATTTTTTGAAAGTGTATTAATAGTTGTTTGTAGACATTGACTAACATCATCTTGTAATACTAATGGTGTTTTAAATTCGATTGAACTGATTGTAATATCTTGATTTGGATAAATGTTGAATAAATTGATGATATATCCACAACCTGGGAACTTGATTTTACCTTTTACTTGATGTCCTTTTAACCATTGGAATGGTTGTTTTTTAGTATCTATATAAGTTTGATATGGTTTGGATGGTAATTCTTTTGTAACACCTAGATGTTGAATTGGAGGTCCTTCTTTTTTTATTTTTTCATATGCTGGATTTTGTTTGAAATATACTTTATCGTCCCATTGATATAATGGTAGTTTTTTTATAGATTTATGAATATAAATATTTTGGTTTTGTTGAGTTAATTGTGATTTGAAATTTATATTAAATGAGTTGTTAACATAAAGTTTTGAAATTGTATTTAAAAATTCATCATAATCATTTTTCTTTTTGTGAAGTGGTGAGTGAATAGTTATTTTTTCTCCATTATTAAAATATGGTGATTGTGTTGATTTCATTTGATTTAAATAGAATGATAGTGTTGGGTGTGGCGAAACCTCGATAAATGTTACCTCGATACCACTGTTTTTTTTTTTTATATATTTAAATATGTTTGAAATGGTTTGAGTGAATCTTACTGGTTGTAAAACATTTTCAAATACATATTCTGAATTAAATGGTGTTGTTTCGTGATTAAAAAGGTTGGTTGTAACTGTTGAAAATATTGGTGTTGTTGATTGTTTTGATTTAATGTTCATTGAACATATTTCATCTTTAATAACTAATTGACTTGATGTGTGGAGGGATGAAAATGTTCCTAACATTGCACAAAATATATCTTTTGATTTTAAATCAGCTGCAATTTCATTTATTAAATGTTCTTTACCTGATACTACAATTGATGATGGTGAGTTGTAACAAGCAATATCGACATTTGGATATTTTGATGAATAATTTGAAATATATTCTTCTGCACTTATATTAACAGATAGCATTCTTCCAGTACCAGTTGTTTTATTTTGAGCTACCGATCTGTGGTATACTAAATAACATAATGTTTCAAAGTCAATCATACCAGAGCAATATGATGCTGATATTTCACCAAGAGAATGACCAACGATTAGATCTGATCTGATACCCCAGTGTTTATATAGTTCGAATAATGATACTTGAATCATAATATTTGATGGTTGAGCAATAGTATGATCGTGTACTGATTTGGTATCATTATCATCGATTGATCTTAGTTTTTGTAAAACAGAGTACCCATAGTATTTGAATAGTTCATTATCGAATTTATCTACCCATTGTTTGAATATTGTTTCATTTTCATATAGTTCTAATGCCATTCGATTATATTGTGATCCTTGACCACAAAATACAAATACTGTTAATGGATTGTTTTTTTTAACTGAAATATTTGAAAGTGTATTTGGATTGGATGATTTGATTTCATTTTTTGGATCTTTAAATTCTTCCCAATCACTTGCAATAATAACTGATCTTTGAACGAGTGATGTTGGTTTATATTTTATTTGATTATTTACAAAGTTATTAAAATCCAATGTGTCTGATTGATCCATAATAATTTGTTTGTATTTGTCAAGTGATGTTGATGAGTTTGATGAGAATGGTATTAAATACTTTTTATTATAATTAAAATCTTTTTTAATTATATCTTGTTTGTATTCTGATAAAATTATACAACAATTCGATCCTGTGATTTTGATTAAAAAAATTAATATATTTATTCTTTTTTTTTAATATTTTTTTAAAATGTTAAAATATATTTACCAGTTATACCAAAGTTATTAATAGCCATAACAGTGTTTTTGTTATTTTTGTAAAATGGTGTTGGTTCAGTTACAACTTTTAAACACCACTCATTGAATTTAATATCAGGATTTGGTGATTTAAAGTTGATATTTTGTACAAATGATTGGTTTTTATACATTACACAACATTTAATGAATGACATTATACCTGATGATGCTTCACCATGACCAATATTTGATTTGATAGACCCGATTAAAACTTGTTTGTTGGTATCTTTGAATACTCTTGAAATACCTTCTAGTTCTATTGGATCACCAGTTGGTGTACCAGTACCGTGACATTCGACATAGTCAATATCAGATGCATTGATTTGACCATTGGTAGATTCGATTGCCGATTTAATATTTTCATATTGTGATGATTTTGATGGTGAATAAAAGTTTGATTTATCATAGTTACCATCTACATTTGAACTTGAACCTTTGATAACACAATAAATGTTATTACCATCTTTGATTGCTTTTTCTAAACTCTTCAATACAACAACACCGACACATTCAGAACGTACATATCCGTCTGCATCAGATGAAAATGAGTGACACTTTCCAGTTGGACTTAACATTGATAAATGAGAAAATGATTTTGATGTACTTGGGTCTAATTTTAAAAATAAATAAATATTAGTTTAAAGGGGTCTATAAAATCAGTTTTTTATACATACCAAGTATTAGATTAACACCCCCTACAATAGATACATCAGATTGACCACATTTTACAGTTTTATAACCAAGATGTATTGCATTTAATGATGAACTGCATGCAGTATCGATTGTCATAGATTCACCACGAAAATCAAAGCAGTATGATATTCTATTTGATATTGAATGTAGTGACCCGCCAAAAATATTTTTATGGATTTCAAAAGGTGATCTATTGGTTGTATCGTAGTCTACAGTTGATGCGCCAATAAATGTACTTGTATTTGAGCCTCTTAATGCCGATGGATCAATACCGCTATCTTCTAATGCTTCCCATGTACACTTTAACAATAATCTTTGTTGTGGATCGATTGTATTGACATGTTCGTCACTTGGATTGATTCCAAAGAAAATTGGATCAAACGACTTCCATTCATCAAGTGGAATAAGACCAGCATATTTACAAGCAATATCACCAGCGACACAATAGTTATCAGACCATCTTTCAGATGTTTCTACCATACCATCAAAACCATTAACCAAGCTATCCCATAATTGATTTGTATTTGAAATTGATTTTGACAAACTACCACTTGGTGCTCTAAAACCTATACCTATAACTGCAACATCCTTATTTTGAACGACATATTTTGATAACATTTTTAATTAAATAAAAATATTTCAATTACTTTATATTTAAAATAAAAAATAAAAAAGAAAAATTTTAATTAAATATTTTATTTGGTTTTAAACTGTTCTTCCTTGATAAATTAAAGTTAAACACTTCTCAATTTTTTTGTTAACAATAGTTGTGTTTTTTATTTCAAGATAAAAATTAATAAAAAATTTAAATATAAATAAACCAATAAAGAAATTATAATACTTTTTTTAACTTATATCTGTTTGTAAAAAAATAATACTTTATTTTACTTATTTCTGTTTGTAAATTTTCTTTTTTTTTATTACGAAAATGTTGTTAAAAACGGTTCTATTATTTCAAAATTTAGTGCAAGAAAATGTTAAAAATTTGGTGTGTTTTTTTGTTTTTTCTAATTTGCCCTAACTTTAACAACAATTAATGATTTATTAATTTTTTTTTAAATTTTTACAAAACCTCTTTTATTTGTGTGAATTTATGACTTAATTAAAGTGTTGTTAAAAATAAAAACCCTTAATAATAATAGGGTGAATAATTTTAATCTCCTTTAATATATTTTTCATTATATAATTAAGATATATAACTATTATTATTATGTGTTTCCACTCGAAATTTATAAAATATTGGTGGTTACAATAGTTCCCACTCCCCCAAAAAAAATATTTAAAACAGTTATTTATTAAAAAATGAATTATAAAATTATATTGATAATTAAGATTTAATAATACTAAAAAATTTTGAAAACAACTTTATTCATTATTATAAACTATTAATTAATAAAAATGACTTTTTTTTCGAATTTTAAAAAACTCTTAAATTGATCAACTTTAACTATATAAATTATAATTAAAATATTTATTTATTTAAATTAATAAAAAATTTCATTAATTTGTATTATCAAAATTCTAATTTAAATAGTTACCAAATCAATTATATATAATAATTAATAATTTCAATAAATTTTAAATAAAATAAAATAAAATAAAATGTTGGTAAAAGCAAATAAAGAGAATCCTGAATTAAAAAAGAATGGTCAAGTAAAGAAGATATAAACTATTAAAATTTCTATTGATGATTGAGTTAACATCAAAATTCAAGACAAGGATAATAATGATGTAAAGGAAGTCCAATCGTTTAAAATAAAAATACTCTCCTATTGCAAAGACAAACATAAATTTTATAGATAATAATATACAATAAAAGAACTAGAACAATCATAAATAGAAATCAAAACACAGTCAAAATAAGAATCAGAATCACAAACCGAGACTGGATTAGAATTAGAGTTAGAACCAAAATTACAATCACAAAAAAAATTAAAAAAAATATAAACAATTTTACAAAAAAAAAAAAAAAAATGAAAATTAATTTGTTTCAAATAAAAAAAACTGGTATATATATCATCAAAAAACTAAATTTCAGTTTAAAATGGAAACAGCAAATATTTAATCAAAAGAAATGCTATCAAAAAATATTCAATTAGATTATGAAAATTTTTATAAAAATTAAAACAACAATAATTTATGTATAAAAAATTTTAAATAAAAAAAAAACTTTATATTTAAAATATTTTCCACACAATATATTTTTTATTTCAAATTTTTTTATTTTTTTTTTGTTCCATTATAGATTTTATAAAATTTTTGATATTTTAATACCATCTTAACGGTATTAATATGCAATTACATGTAAAATTTAAATTGTGTGTTAAAAAATAATTATTTTTAAAATTTTTTTTTATTTTTTTTTTATTTAATTTTTTTTATTTTTTTTTATTTTTTTAAATATTTCAAAAAAAAAAAATTTTCGTTTTTTTTTTATTTTTTTTATTTTTTTTTTAAAATTTCTTTTATTATCATAAACCCACCCAATAACAACAATAACAACCAAATTTCATTCACTCTCAGAAACAAGATCATTTTTTTTTTTTTTTCTTTTGCCAAATAAATTAAATTTTTATACAATAAATATATTATAGATTGTTAATAATTTTTAATTATTTGTTTAAAAACTTTTTTTTTTTATAAAAATAATAATATTTTAAAATTTTTTTTTTAAAATTTTTTTTTTTCAGATTATTTTTTTAAATCTTTTTAATAAAAGTAATATCATTACAACCTGTATATAGATAAATATATTTAATTTTAGATATATAGTTAAATAATAATAATAATAATACAAAAAACAATTATTAAACAAAACATCAATTAAAATGTTTAATAATAATAATAGTCAACAAGAAAATAATAATAGTAGTAATGAAGATAAAGTTGACCAATTTTCAAAACAGTTATTTGGAAATCTAGTAGCAGCAGCAAAAATATCAAATAATTTACCATCAGAAGAAGATTATTCATATTATCAAACATTTCCAGAGTTTAAGAATAGAATGGATCATTTAGGTAAAAGATTATTAAATTTAACACAAAATTTTGTGCAATCAGAAAACCCAAAAAGTGATCTATTATTGACAGATACCAATGATGTAGATGAACTATCAGAAAGATTTGGCGGCATTGTAGATGTAGTAGATGGAATGATCGATAAAGTTGATAAAACAATTGACCCTAAATATAATCAAAATCAAACCAATGTATTTATATCCTCAACTGTAGTACAAAACCAGCAAAATACCAAAAAATCGACATCCAACGAAGTTAATATGTTTTATGGAAGTAATATAGCAAGACCACAATTAAAATTCGAAGACCCAGTCGATAATAGTAATTTCCCATTTTTACCAAAGATTAAAACTAAACCAAATTCATTAGTCGATTTAGACCCAAGTATGTCCTATTCTATTATTTACTATTATTAAAAAAAATACTAATATAATTAATTGATTTATTTAGTTTTTTTAAAATCACAACCAAAAGAAATTTTATATGGCAAAATTATTAGAGATAAAGAACAAGAAACATTAATATTCCCACATCCATATGAATATGAAATTAATAATTTTAAATATACAGAAAAACAAAATCAATCATGTAAAGAAATTTTATCGAGAGGATTAGAGGAAACACCATATACATGGATCGACTCTGTTAGACAATTGGAGGAACTTTGTGATAAATTATCACATGTCGAGGAGTTTGCAATGGATCTTGAACATCATAATTATAGAAGTTACCAAGGTTTTGTATGTCTTATGCAAATTTCAACAAGAGGTGAAGATTTTATTATTGATACTTTAGCATTACGTTCACATATTCACATGTTAAACAATGTAACAACCAACCCAGCAATCGTCAAAGTATTACATGGTAGTGATAGTGATATCAAATGGCTCCAACGCGATTTTGGAATCTACATTGTAAATATGTTTGATACCGGCCAGGCCTCCCGTGTTTTAGAGTATCCATCCGCTTCATTGGCTTTCCTCTTAAAGTATTTCTGTGCTGTCGACGCTAACAAGAAATATCAATTGGCCGATTGGAGAATAAGAAAGATCCCAGAAGAAATGATTAAGTATGCCCGTGAAGATACCCATTACTTGTTATATATTTATGATCGTTTACGTAACGAGCTCATTAACAAAGGCAAAGGTTCCAATAATCTCTTGTTGGAGGTTTTACGTCGTTCTCGTGAGCTGGCCCTACTCAAGTATGAAAAAGAAATTTTGGATGATAATACTCATATTCAATTTGCAAAGAAATTAAATCTTCAATACAACCCTGTTCAATTGAATGTCTTGAAGGTTATCTATCATTGGAGAGAAGGCTTGGCCCGTGAAGAAGATGAAAGTGTTCGTTATGTTCTTCCAAATCAAATGATGTTTTCTATTATTGAAAACCAACCTGTAACAGTACAAGAATTAATTGCTTTATGTTCTCCAGTACCACCATCTCTTAAATCACATGCTCACCAACTTATCCAAGATATATTAAAGGCAAGAATCGAGGATTCATCAAAGCAACAACAATTTATGCCTGCTCTTCATAATGTTTTACAATCACAATCCAACATTTATTATAACCAAAAACAACAACAAATTCAACAACAGCAAAATTCAACAACAACAAATATTACAACAACAACAGCGAATGATACAACAACAAAAACTTCAAATCCAACAACAACAACTACATATTCAACAACAACAAATTCAACAACATTAACAACACAAAATAAACCTTCTCCTCAACAGCAGCAACAACAACAACAAATTCAACAACAACAAATTCAACAACAGCAACATCAACATCAACAACAACAATACCATCAAAATCAAAATCAACATCAACATCAACACCAACAACAAAAAGATGGAAGATTATCTCCAATTCCAAATATTAAAAATAACAATTCAAATAGTCCAGTATTAACAACTGAACAACTTTATAAAGCTGCCAAGTGGTTATCAGGTGAAAAATTACAAGCTTTTCAATTGGTGTTAAATAGAAGAGCAGCCAAATTATCATCGGTTAATCAAAGTAATCATTCAAATACACCAATTTCAAAGGGTAGCCTATTTGATAATGGTAGTTGTGATGAAGAAAACCCAGATAGGAAAAGATCAAAGAAAATTGCATCTATGGTTGCAACTTCATTCGAGCCATCTTCGTTTGCCCCAGTATTCAAACCATCAAGCCAATTAAAGGTAATCGATCAAGAACACCAACAAAACCATTCAAGCTCTGAAAAAGAAGATGAAATGTTGGATCAAGATGATGACGATGATGAAGATGACGAAGATGATGATGAAGAAGATGGAACTAGTGAAACCATGGATGATGGTGATAAATCATCAAAATCTTGTGATGAAGATATTACCTCAGATAAAGAAAGCGATAACGATGATGATGAAGATGATATCAATAGCCAGGTTCCAAAAAGCATGCAAGAAATTTATCAACTTTCAAATTTAAATAGAAGAAGAAACAAAGAAAAAAAGAAACTAAAAGAAAATTCTACAACTACTTCAACTACCTCTTTAATAGAAACTACAACCGGAACTAAATCTAAAAAGGATGAGTCTGTAACTGATACTTTTTCATTCTTAAAAGAAATTGGTTGGGTTAATAGTGATCAATCTGCCGATTCATTTAAACCGGTCTCACAGCAACCACAACAATCATCTTCACCAGTTCAATCTTCAAACAGTATTACAAACCAACCATCACAACCACAACAACAACAGCAACAGCAACAACAACAACAACAACAACAAGCTAAAAAACAACAAAAACAGTCTACTTCATCACCCCAGCTACCAAATCAACAACAACAACAACAGTTTGTTTCCTTTGATTATTCACAAGTTTCAAATATAAACCAATCAAACCCAAATCAACAACAAAACTTTTTCAATACAGATTACCAAACCACCAAAAAGAAATCAAATCAAACAACCGGTGCAGTTAAGGCCAAATCCGGAACATTCTATCCATCTTCAAATGTTTGTATTATTTTCATATAAATATATAAATCACTTTTTATTTGAATTTTTACTAACAGTTTTTTTTTTTTTTTTCCTTTTTTAAATATAGTACAAAAAGAAATAAATTAATTTAATTTCTTTTTATAGTTTATAATTATGATCAAAAAATAAATAAAGTTATATTAAAATATTATATATAAAAAAAAAAAAAAAATTTTTCATTTCTTAATTTTTTTTTGTCGAAACACCCCTTAATTTTTTTATATAATTTTTATTTTTAATTATTGACACTCCAATTTAGAAAAGGTTTATACTGTTTTTTTATTTTAATATTTTTAGGTTAAAAAATTAAAACAGTTGAGTGGGTGGGGTGGGGGGGGGGGTTAAACTATCTTTCAATTGTAAACACCTTAAATTATTTAGAAAAAGTTTATCTATAATTAAAAAAGAACAGTTTAAAATCAATTAAAAAAATTAATTTTTATTTTTTATTTCAATTTTTTATTTATTTTGTTTTAAATTCATTTTTAATAATTGAAATTATTTTCATTAAAACATCAAATAAAATTAAAAATGATACAAAAATATGTTGTTCAAAATAATGATGTTGCAGTTATAGGTATTGGTTTTAGAGCACCAAGTGGTAGTTTGGCAAAATCGATTTCAAATACAAATCAATTATGGGATAGCTTGGTTAATGGTTTCGATGGTATCGTAGAAACATCTGAAAGATGGTCCGATAACTATAATGTTACTGGTAATATTGCTTCCAAATATTCTGGCCTTATTCCACTTGATGAATGGAAGTCTTTTGATCCAATTTTCTTTGGAATCAATCCAAGTGACGAACATGTCAATACAATCGATCCACAACAAAGATTATTGTTAAAGTGTACATGGGAAGCATTGGAAGATAGCGGTATTGATCCATTGGCATTAAGAGGCACAAATACAAGTACATTTATTGGTGCATCAGCTACAGAGTACGATGGTGCTAATAAATCACATTATGTAACCCAAATAAACATTTTTGGAGCAACAATTCATTCAATTGCAAATAGAATATCATACTGCTTTGATTTTCGTGGCGAATCTTTGACAATCGATACTGCATGTAGCTCATCATTAAATGCAATTAATCTTGGTTACAACTCTATCAAATACGGTAAGTCTGATGTATCTGTTGTAGGTGGTGTTAGTTTAAATCTTGGTATGTATTTGAGACTTTTAAAATAATTATCATTAATCCATAGTTTATTAAAAAATTTTTCAATAAACTAATATTTCTATTTATTTCAATATTAGACCCAAATGTATCAAAATCATTATCTCATTTATCAATGTTAAGTCCAACTGGAAGGTGTCACACATTCTCATCGGATGCAGATGGATATGTACGTTCTGAATGTGTCGGTGTTGTAGTATTGAAGAGTTTAGAACAAGCAATCAAAGATGGAAATAACATTTATTGTGTTATCAAAGGTTCAAGTTCAAATGTAGATGGTAACTATGATAAATCAAACTTTTATTCACCATCAAAATCATCACAATATGAAAATATTAAATCTGCAATTCAATCTACCAATGGTCAAATCAATGCATCAGATATTGATTATGTCGAATGTCACGGTACTGGTACACCAACTGGTGATCCAATAGAACTAGAAGGTATTTCAAGAGTATTCAAAGATACAAACAAACAAGTTTTAATTGGTTCCATTAAATCAAATATTGGTCATTGTGAAGCATCATCAGGTGTAATTTCATTAATAAAATGTTGTGTAATGTATAAAAACCAATCGTTTGTTCAAAATATCAACTTTAAATCACCAAACCCAGCTATCAAATTCGATGAATGGCGTCTAAAAGTTGTAACTGAACCAACACCATTTAACAATAACAAAAATACTGTTATGGCTATTAATAACTTTGGTATAACTGGTAAATATATTTAAAAAAAAATAAAAAAAGAATAAACATATATTTATTAATAAATTATTATTAATATAAAAACAGGATCAAATTGTTGTATTATTTTATCAAATTACCAAAATGAAAATATTCAAAATGAAAATAATATTAACAAAAAGTATTTAATACCATTCTCATCAAACTCATCAACATCACTTGACAAATACAAACAAATTATTATGGATCAATCAGACACATTGGATTTTAATGAATTTGTTAATAATCAAATCAAATATAAGTCAAAATTGCTCGTTCAAAGATCAGTTGTTATTGCAAGTAATTGGGAAGAATTTAAAGATTCAAAAAATGAAATCAAGTCATCCAATCCAAATACAGTTTCAAATATTTCAGTTAATAAAAATAATCAATTTACAATATTTGTATTTTGTGGTCAAGGATCACAATATAATCAAATGGCATTAGAACTATATGAAAATGAAACAATATTCAAACAATGGGTAGATAAATTCGACAATGAACTATTCAAATACTATGGGTACTCTGTTTTACAAAAACTAAGATCAGTCGATGATAATGATATGAAATCAGTACACGATCATACTATTGCGCAACCATCAAATATTATGATTCAAGTATCATTATTCGAACTTTATAAACACTGGGGTATCAAATCAGATTTAATCGTTGGTCATTCTCTTGGTGAAATATCAGCATCATATTGCTCTGGTATGATTGACTTTGAAACACTATGTTATTTAGTATACCACAGATCCATTGCTCAAAATAAAACAACTGGTACTGGTAGAATGCTATCTGTAAATATAAGTGCAGAAGAATATTTATCAAATTATTCATCAAAATACCCAACAGTCGACATTTCTTGCTACAACTCACCATCATCAATTGTAGTATCAGGTAAAGAATATTTATTACATGAAATTGTAGATGATTTAAAATCAAAAGATATATTTTGTGTAATGCTAGGAACATTATCATCACTCCACACATCAAGTCAATTAGTTATTAAAGATGAATTATGTTCAATGAACATTAAATCAAAACAGTCAACAACACCAATATTTTCAACAGTCACAACCAACCTATTTAATCACGAAACAACACCATTCAATTCAGAATATGTATTTGAAAATGTTTTACAACCAGTAAGATTCACTCAAACCATTTCAAACATATACAAATATATTGAAGAAAACAACTATGGTAACGAAGTAACATTTATTGAAATTGCACCACATCCAACATTATCATTCTATTTAAATCAAATGAAATCAACTCAATCACCATATTTTAATAATGGTGAAAAAATTACCATTCACTCACCACTTCACAAAAAGAAAAATGACTATGATGAATTTTTAATCACAATTTCAAAACTTTATGTAAACCACTCATTTAATGTTAATTTTAAATCACAAATTGATCACGACAGCAAAATTAAAATCAATTGCTTACCATTATATCAATGGGATGATAAAATTTATTACAAACAAAATCCAAAATGTGAAAAGATAAAAAAAGAAGGACCTCCAATTCAACATCTTGGTAATAAAAAAGAATCACCATTTATTTGGTATCAAACATTCATAGATACTAAAAAACAACCATTCCAATGGTTAAAAGGACATCTAGTAAAAGGCAAAAAATACTTCCCAGGTTGTGGATATATCATTAATTTATTCAACATCTATCCAAATCAAGATATTACAATCAATTCAATCGAATTTAAAACACCATTAGTTTTACAAGATGATGTTAATCAATGTCTACAAACAACCATTTTTACACTTTCAAAAAATGAATACAATGTCAAATCACACTTTATAGATACAGTTTCAAATCATTTGATACTATGCTCCACTGGTAACTTTAGTTTATTCAAACATGGTAACGAAATTAATCGAATCAATATTGATGAAATAAGAAATAAATGTAACTTTACTAAACTATCAAAATCAGAGCTTTATGAATCAATTAGAATCAAAACTGGATTAACATACAAAGGTTTATTCCAAGGTGTCAAAGAATGCTATGTTGGTAATAACTGTTCTCTATCGATTGTATCATTAAATGAAATTCAAAATCAAAATGAATTCAATCATTTACTCAACAACGATACAATGAAGTCATTCTTTAACACTGCAATACTAGATACATGTTTACATGGAATCCTATGTTTTATCAAACATCAATGTCAAATTGTATTAGATAAAATGGAAGGATTTAAATACTACTCATCAAATATACCATCACCAAACAATCAACAACATTCAGAAATATATGTATATTCTGAAATGAAATCAAGAATCAATTTATACTCATACTCTGGATCCATTAAAATAATGTTAAATGATGGAACATTATTAATTGAAATCTCAAATGTAATTTGTACATCACTTACACCAATCATTGACAATACGACAATTATTCCACCACCATCCAATGAAATCTACTTACCAATTCAACAACCAAAAGACTCTATCATCAATAAACCACAATCATTCAAACCCTTGTATCAATTAGAAGAATTGGGGTTAGATGAATTCAATACACAAATAGTATCAAATGAACATTTATTATCATTATTTTACTATCAAATTAATCAAAGACGTCCAAATATCAACAGAGAAACATTATCAAAAATAGATTATATTCAATTCAAACAACTTTACAATAATGAAGAGGTAAATGAAAATTTATTATTTTTTATTTTCGATATTTTAAAACAATTTAATAGTTTAGGAATCAAAAAACAATTAAATGAATATCCTGACGGAAATAATAATAAACAAATAAAACTTTTAAAAAAAACAACTTCAGTTATGGCAAAACAAATATTCCCATTAGAAGATGATGATCCAAACATTGACACTGCTCAATCATTATTTGAGGATAGATTTTTAGATCAATTTTATCAAGAATCTAATATAATTAAACCAATAAACAATTTTTTAAGTGATATTGTTTCAGAATCAATTAAACCAATTATTAATGAACCAATAGTATTCAGAATATTAGAATTTGGAGGTGGTGTGGGCTCATTATCTATTTCGGTATTAAATAAAATCAACAAACTTATAAATGATAATCCAACATCGAATATCGATATAGAATACACATGGAGCGATACTTCAGAATCTTTTTTTTCAGATGTTAAAGAAAAACTTTCAAAAATCAAAGGTGTCAATATAATCTATCGTACTCTAGATTTAGACAAATCATTAAAAGATCAAGATTTAAAATCATCTTATTATGACATGGTTATAATGTCATTTGTATTACATGTTGTAAAACAGATTAGATTCAGTTTAAATGAAATCCATAATATTTTAACACCAAATGGTCAAATTATTTTTATTGAACCACCATACAAATCATTATATATTGATTCCATATTCGGTGTATTCCCACAATGGTGGCCATCACCAGAAGATATTGATATCAGAAAAGATAGAAGCTGTATGAAACAAGAAAGCTGGTGCAAGCTACTAAAAGAATGCAATTATAAAGATACAACAATATCTGGAAATGATAAAGCACCCTTTTTAATTCAAACAAGAAAATCAAATATAAATGAAATGGTATTATCAAATATTGAATCAATGAAACAATTAGCATCTCATGATAATATTATATTATTTGGTAATAGTAGAGATTGTACACCAATCAACGAATCATTCAAATTGAATCAACAATTAAGTTCAAAAATAAAACAATTCGATTGCTTTAATGAACTTATCAACTGGGCTATTAATTCTATTGATTCAATAAGACAAAGTAAAACAATAGTTTTCTTTATGAAAGCAATTGATCAATTAGATATCAATAATTTTAAAGAAATAACATTTGAATATATTCAAATTAATCAAATGTTACTTCAACATGAAATTGAAATATTTTGTAAACACGTTTTAATATTATTAAACTCAACAACAAACAACTATTTATCATCATCAATCAATGGAGCAGCAAGATATTTCGCAGAATTCCCACAATTAGATTTATATTCATTAGATTTCGATAATATTTCAATTCAAAATGAAAATATACTATCACTTATCGATATATTGATAGATCCAACAACAAATATTCAAAGAGAATTTACAATTAAAAACAATACAGTATATTATGAAAGATACAAAAAACAAACAAAAATTAAACAATCATTTACATCAAACTCATTTGAAACAAATAAAGATAATTTAATGATTCAACTTGATCCAAATTTAGAATATGTATTAAAAACAAAAAAACAAGAATTAAAACCAAATGAAATTGAAGTCCAAATAAAAGGTACCGGTATCAACTATAAAGACTATCTAATGTATGTTGGTCAAATATCAAATAGTGTTGATCTCAAATATGGCAAAGAAGAAGAAATTGAAAACGGATTAAATCAAATGCCAAATATTGGAAATGACTTTAGTGGTATTATTACTCGTTGTGGCAGTAGTGTAAAGAAATTTAAAATTGGAGATGAAGTATTTGGAGTTGCTTCAAAAACTAGTGCATCACATATTATAATCGATTATAAATATTGTTATAACAAACCTACAAATATCTCACATATACAAGCAGCATCTGTTACAACAGTTTATGTTACATCATTACACAGTATATTCTATACTGGTAATTTACAAGAAGATCAAACTATTTTAATTCACTCAGCATCAGGTGGTGTCGGTCTATCAGCATTAGAATTATTAAAGTGTAAACAACACAAAGGTTATATATTTTTAACAGTCGGTTCAAAAGATAAAGAAGAATACTTGATCAATAAATATGGCTCATTTATTACTGGTATCTATTCATCAAGAAATAAAAACTATGTTCATCAAATTAAAGAAAAATTAAAACAATTACAATGTGACAAATGTCATCAAGGTGTAGATTTAATATTAAATACACTTTCATCAGAATATATGGATTCAAATTTCCAATGCTTAAATACTTGTGGTAGAATTGTAGATCTTTCAATTACACATTTAACACCAAATGATTATATGACAAACAATCACTTTAAATACAACTATGGATATAATAATGTAGAACTTGTTGAGTTTTCATCAAAATTATTTAAAAGTTTATTAAAAAAATTAGTTAGAATGTTTAATTCAAACAAATTAGAACTCATTCCAATTATTGAATATTCAAATGATCAATTTAAAGATGCAATCGAATATATAAATGAAAGACAACATATTGGTAAAATCGTTGTAAATCATGATATAGATATGTTATCAAAAGTATTTAATGAACAAAAACAAAGTGACTCAAGTATTATGAAGAACACTTATGATATCTCAAGATTAGATATCGGTAAAAACATATTAGTAACAGGTCAAACAGGTATTATATTAGAAATTATGAAATGGCTTGTTAAATATTCAAACAAATCAATCGATAATATTATAATTTTATCAAAATCACCATTAAAATGGGAATTAGAACTATTAATCAATCAAACTAAACATCAAAAAGATAATACAATTAATTTCCACTTTAATCAAATCGATATCGAAGATAGTAATAAAGTTCACAATGTGTTAAACAATCTAGAATCAAACTCAAACATTACAAATATCGATACAGTAATACACTTTGCATTTGTAACTGATATTTGTGATGTTCAAGATATCAATATGAATGGTTTAAATATGACACATGGTCCAAAAACAATTGGAGCATTCAATTTACACAATGAATCAATTCAACGTTCATGGAAAATAAAACAATTTATTATGGCATCATCTGCAGTTACAATTACTGGTTCCTATAGACAATGTTGTTATGTTAGTGCTTGCAATACAATTGACTCATTATCAAAATATAGAAAATCAATTGGACTACCATCACTATCAATAAATTTAGGTGCAGTATTATCAACTGGAATCGTTTCAAGAAATGAAGCAATGGAAATAATGATGGAGTCATCAATGTATAATTTTATTTCAGCACAACAAATTTTAAGCTCATTAGATCTCTTTATTCAAGATAAAAACAATTATTCAAACTATTGTTTGTGTAATTTTAATTTTGAAAATTTGGTATATGCAAAACCAAACTATAATTATTCTAAACTTGACTATCAATCCAATATGGTTAAAAAATCACATATATTATTAGATGATGGAAGTAACAACGAAGTTTTTAAAATTATGGTAATAAACAAAATATCAGAGTTACTTTCAATTGATGAGTCAAAAATCAACTTGGAACTCCATTTAACTCAGTATGGTCTCGATAGTTTAGTTATTGTTCAATTAAAGAACTGGATAGATAAACAAATAGGTATAAATATAATTTCAATACAACAATTACAAACCAATAGTATATCTCAATCACTTGATATTATTAACAAAAATTTTACTGACAATAATAAAAAGAATAAAAAAATATAAATTAATATTAAAATAAAATATAAAAAAGTTTAAAAAGGGTTTTAATTTCTTTTTCTTTGACCTATATAATTATTACCAAGTTAGGGTAGTTTTTTAGTAAAATTTCATTTCATTTAATTTTTTTTTTTTCATAAAATTTAAACCATGGTATATTGTCGCCCACTGGTACTTTTTTTACAGCCTGCATGTAAACATAAAAAAAAAAATAAAAAACAATTTTTTGTAAAAAGTGGTCATAACAAAATATTTTAAAAAATTAATGCGTAAAAAAAAAAAAATCTGTGCATTTTTTTTTTTCTCCATATTAATAAAATTTTTTTTTTATTACCAATTTGCAATAGTTTTTTTTTTTAATTTTTTAATTTTTTTTTAAAAAAAAAAACCTTTTTAATTGCTAAATTCATCAATACAAAAAATTTATCTAAAAGTATAATAAAATGTATTTTTTTAAATTAACTTTTTTGGGGTGTGGTCATAAAACTAATTAATTTAATTATTAATATTTATGATAAATGAAAAAAAAAAATTTCTATCAAATTATTTTTATATAAAAAAAAAAAAAATTAAAGGTGTGATTATATATTAAAACAGTACTTTTAATTTTTTTATTAATTTTTATCGTTTTTTATTAGACTTCTAAAATTAAAGATAATCTAATATGTCAATTAATAGATTTTGGGAAATCAACACAGGGGTGATGTTTGTTCTGTTATTTACATTTATTGGTAAATTGTTTATCTTTTAATTTATTATCAAGGAAGAACAGTTTAAAATTCAAAACAATTTTAAACAAAACTAATTTTTAATATTTATTACAATCTTTATTTTATTTATTTAAAATTATTTATTAAAACATCTAATTAAATTGTTTATTTATTAAAAATGTCATCAAAAAATATTGTTCAAAATAGTGATGTTGCAGTTATAGGTATTGGTTTTAGAGCACCAAGTGGTAGTTTAACAAAATCGATTTCAAAAACAAATCAATTATGGGAGAGCTTGGTAAATGGTTTCGATGGTATCGTAGAAACATCTGAAAGATGGTCTGATAACTATAGTGCCACTGGTGATATTGCTTCCAAATATGCTGGTCTTATTCCACTTGATGAATGGAAGTCTTTTGATCCAATTTTCTTTGGAATCAATCCAAGTGACGAACATGTCAATACAATCGATCCACAACAAAGATTATTGTTAAAGTGTACATGGGAAGCATTAGAAGATAGCGGTATTGATCCATTGACATTGAGAGGCTCAAATACAAGTACATTTATTGGTTCATCAACTGTAGACTACGATGCTACCAATAAATCACCTTTTGAAACTCAAAAAAACCTTTTTGGCGGATCACTTCATTCAATAGCAAATAGAATATCATATTGCTTTGATTTTCGTGGCGAATCTATGTCAATTGATACTGCATGTAGCTCATCATTAAATGCAATGCATCTTGGTTACAACTCTATCAAATACAGTAAATCTGATGTTTCTATTGTAGGTGGTGTTCATCTAATGCTTGGTATGTATATCAGACTTTTAAAATAATTTTTTATTAAAGAAAATTTTCAGTAAACTAATATTTTTAATTATTTATTTTAATATAAGACCCAAATACATCAAAATCATTTTCTCATTTATCAATGTTAGGTCCAACTGGAAAGTGTCACTCATTTTCATCTGATGCAGATGGATATGTACGTTCAGAGTGTGTCGGTGTTATTGTATTGAAAAGTTTAGAACAAGCAATCAAAGATGGTAATAACATTTATTGTGTCGTCAAAGGTTCAAGTTCAAATGTAGATGGTAACTATGATAAATCAAACTTTTATTCACCATCAAAATCATCACAATATGAAAATATTAAATCTGCAATCGAATCTACCAATGGTCAAATCAATGCATCAGATATTGATTATGTCGAATGTCACGGTACTGGTACACCAACTGGTGATCCAATAGAACTAGAAGGTATTTCAAGAGTATTCAAAGATACAAACAAACAAGTTTTAATTGGTTCCATTAAATCAAATATCGGTCATGGAGAGGCATCATCAGGTGTAATGTCATTTATCAAATGTTGTGTAATGTTTAAAAACCAAACATTTGTTCAAAATATCAACTTTAAATCACCAAACCCAGCTATTAAATTCGATGAATGGCGTCTAAAAGTTGTAACTGAACCAACACCATTTCAGAAAAACAAAAACACTGTTATGGCAATTAATAACTTTGGTATTACTGGTATGTATAATTAATAAAATTAAATTAAATTAAATTAAATACTAATTATTTTAATATTTAGGATCAAATTGTTGTTTTCTTTTATCAGAATATTGTATAAAAAAAAGTCAAAACTTAAATATAATAAATAAAAAGTATTTAATACCATTCTCATCCAACTCATCAACATCACTTGAAAAATACAAACAAATTATTATGGATCAATCAGACACATTAGTTTTTAATGAATTTGTAAATAATCAAATCAAATTTAAATCAACATCACTCTCTCAAAGATCAGTTATTATTGCAAGTAATTGGAAAGAGTTTAATGATAAACAAAACCATCAGATTTCCTCAAATTCAAATACATTTTCAAATATTAAAAAAGAAAATAAGGCTCCGTTTACAGTTTTTGTTATTTGTGGCCAAGGATCACAACATAATCGAATGGCATTAGAACTATATGAAAATGAAACAATATTCAAACAATGGGTAGATAAATTCGACAATGAACTATTCAAATACTATGGGTACTCTGTTTTACAAAAACTAAGATCAATCGATGATAAAGATATTATATCAATAAACGAGTCAATTCTTGCACAACCTGCAAATATTATGATTCAAGTATCATTATTCGAACTTTATAAACACTGGGGTATCAAAGCAGATTTAATCGTTGGTCATTCTCTTGGTGAAATATCAGCATCATATTGCTCTGGTATGATTGACTTTGAAACAGTATGTTATTTAGCATACCACAGATCGGTAGCTCAAAATAAAACAACTGGTACTGGTAGAATGCTATCTGTAAATATAAGTGCAGAAGAATATTTATCAAATTATTCATCAAAATACCCAACAGTCGACATTTCTTGCTACAACTCACCATCATCAATTGTAGTATCAGGTAAAGAGCATTTACTAAATGAAATTGTAACTGATTTAAAATCAAAAGATATATTTTGTGCAATGTTAGGGTCACTATCATCATTCCATACATCCAGTCAATTAGTTATTAAAGATGAAATATGTTCAATGAACATTAAATCAAAACAATCAACAACACCAATATTTTCAACAGTCACAACCAACCTATTTAACCACGAAGCAACACCATTCAATTCAGAATATGTATTTGAAAATGTTTTACAACCAGTAAAATTCGCCCAAACCATTTCAAACATATACAAATATATTGAAGAAAACAACTATGGTAACGAAGTAACATTTATCGAAATTGCACCACATCCAACATTATCATTCTATTTAAATCAAATGAAATCAACACAATCACCATATTTTAATAATGGAAAAAAAATAACTATTCACTCACCACTTCACAAAAAGAAAAATGACTATGATGAATTTTTAATCACAATTTCAAAACTTTACATAAACCATTCATTTAATATCAACTTTAAATCACAACTAGATCACAACAACATAATTTCAATTAATTGCTTACCATTATATCAATGGGATGATAAAATTTATTACAAACAAAATTCAGCATATGAAAAAATAAAAAAAGAAGGACCTCCAATTCAAATTCTTGGTAATAAAAATGAATCACCATTTATATCTTATCAAACATTCATAGATACTAAAAAACTACCATTCCAATGGTTAAAAGGACATATAGTAAAAGGTAAAAACTACTTCCCAGGGTGTGGATACATCACTAATTTATTCAACATCTATCCAAATCAAGATATTACAATCAGCTCAATTGAATTTAAATCACCATTAATTTTACAAGATGATGTTAATCAATGTCTACAAACAACCATTTTTACACTTTCAAAAAATGAATTCAATGCTAAATCACACTTTAAAGATACAATTTCAAATCATTGGGTATTATGCTCCGCTTGTAACTTTAGTTTATTCAAACATGGTAACGAAATAAACCGAATCAATATTGATGAAATAAGAAATAAATGTAACTTTACTAAACTATCAAAATCAGAGCTTTATGAATCAATTAGAATCAAAACCGGATTATCACTCAAAGGTTTATTCCAAGGTGTCAAAGAATGCTATGTTGGTGATCATTGTTCTCTAGCGACTATATCATTAAATGAAATTCAAAATCAAAATGAATTCAATCATTTACTCAACAACGATACAATGAAACCATTCTTTACTACTACAATACTTGATGCATGTTTTCATGGAATACTAAGTTTTATCAAACATCAATGTCAAATTGTATTAGATAAAATCGAAGGATTTAAATACTACTCATCAAACATACCATCACCAACTGATCAACAACATTCAGAAATATATGTATATTCTGAAATGAAATCAAGAATCAGTTTATACGCATACTCTGGATCTATCAAAGTAATGTTAAATGATGGCACATTATTAATTGAAATGACCAATGTTGTTTGTACATCACTTTCACCAATAATTGATAATACCATTATTATCCCACCACCATCCAATGAAATCTATCTACCAATTCAACAATCAAAAGACTCTATCATTAATAACCCACAATCATTTAAACACTTGTGCCAATTAGAAGAATTAGGGGTAGATGAAATTCATTTACAAAAAGAAACAAATGAGCACTTATTAACTTATTTTTACTATCAAATTAATCAAAGACGTCCAAATATCAACAGAGAAACATTATCAACAATAGATTATAATCAATTCAAACAACTCTACCATAACGATGGTGTAAATGAAAATTATTTTTTCTTTATTTTCGATATTTTAAAACAATATAATAGTTTAGGTATCAATAAACAATTAAATGAATTCCCTGATGGAAATAATGATAAACATGTTAAGCTTTTAGAAAAAACAACAGTAGTTATGGCAAAACAAATATTCCCATTAGAAACTGATGATCCAAACATTGACACCCCTCAATCATTATTTGAAGATAGATTTTTAGATCAATTTTATCAAAAATCAAGTATACTTAAACCAATAAACAATTTATTATGTGATATTGTTTCAGAATCAATTAAACCGATTATTAATGAACCAATAGTATTCAGAATATTAGAATTTGGAGGCGGTGTAGGCTCATTATCAATTTCGGTATTAAATAAAATCAACAAACTTATAAATGATAATCCATCATCAAATATCGATATTGAATACACATGGAGCGATATTTCACCATCATTTTTTTCAAATATTAAAGAAAAACTTTCAAAAATCAAAGGTGTCAATATAATCTATCGTACTCTAGATTTAGACAAACCATTTAAAGATCAAGATTTAAAATCATCTTATTATGATATGGTTATAATGTCATTTGTATTACATGTTGTAAAACAGATTAGATTCAGTTTAAATGAAATTCATAATATTTTAACACCAAATGGTCAAATTGTATTTATTGAACCACCATACAAATCATTATTTAATGATTTCATATTCGGTGTATTCCCACAATGGTGGCCATCACCAGAAGATATCGACATCAGAAAAGATAGAAGCTGTATGAAAATTGAAACCTGGTACAAACTACTAAATGAATGCAATTATAAAGATACAGCAATATCTGGAAATGATAAGACACCATTTTTAATTCAAACAAGAAAATCAAATATAAATGAAATGGTATTATCAAATATTGAATCAATGAAACAATTAGCATCTCATGATAATATTATATTTTTTGGTAATAGCAGAGATGGCACACAAATCAGTGAATCATTCAAATCAAATCAACAATTAAGTTCAAAAATTATACAAATTGATAACTTTAATGAACTTAACAACTGGATTATTAATTCAATCGATTCAATAAGACAAAGTAAAACATTAATCATCTTTATGAAAGCAATTGATACATTGGATATCAATAATTTTAAAGAAATAACATTTGAATACATTCAAATTAATCAAATGTTACTTCAACATGAAATTGAAAACTTTTTTAAACACATTTTAATATTATTAAACTCAACAACAAACAACTATTTATCATCATCAATCAATGGAGCAGCAAGATATTTCGCAGAATTCCCACAATTAGATTTATATTCATTAGATTTCGATAATATTTCAATTCAAAATGAAAATATACTATCACTTATCGATATATTAATAAATCCAACAACAAATATTCAAAGAGAATTTACAATTAAAAACAACACAGTATATTATGAAAGATATAAAAAACAAACAAAAATTAAACAAACATTTACATCAAACTCATTTGAAACAAATATAGATAATTTATTGATTCAACTTGATCCAAACTTAGAATATGTATTAAAAACTAAAAAAAAAGTATTAAAACCAAATGAAATTGAAGTTCAAACAAAAGGTACCGGTATCAATTATAAAGACTATTTAATATATATTGGTCAAATATCAAATAGTGTTGATCTCAAAAAAGGTAAAAAATTAGAAATTGAAACCGGATTAAATCAAATGCCAAATATTGGAAATGACTTTAGTGGTATTATTACTCGTTGTGGCAGTAGTGTAAAGAAATTTAAAATTGGAGATGAAGTATTTGGAGTTGCTTCAAAAACTAGTGGATCACATATTATAATCGATTATAGATATGTTTATTACAAACCATCAAATATTTCACATATACAAGCAGCATCTATTCCAACAGTTTATGTTACCACATTACACAGTATATTCTATACTGGTAATTTACAAGAAGATCAAACAATTTTAATTCACTCAGCAGCAGGTGGTGTTGGTCTTTCAGCATTAGAACTTTTAAAGTGTAAACAACACAAAGGTTATATATTTTTAACAGTCGGTTCAAAAGATAAAGAAGAATACTTGATTAATAAATATGGCTCATTAATTACTGGTATCTATTCATCAAGAAATAAAAACTATGTTCATCAAATTAAAGAAAAATTAAAACAATTACAATGTGACAAATGTCATCAAGGTGTAGATTTAATATTAAACACACTTTCATCAGAATATATGGATTCAAATTTCCAATGTTTAAATAGCCATGGTAGAATTGTAGATCTTTCAATTACACATTTAACAACAGATGATTATATGACAAACAATCACTTTAAATACAACTATGGATATAATAATGTTGAACTTGTTGATTTTTCGGGACTATTTTTTAAAGGTTATTTAAAAAAATTGTACAAAATGTTCAGTTCAAATAAATTAGAACTAATTCCAATTACCGAATATTCAAATGATCAATTTAAAGATGCAATCGAATATATTAATGAAAGACAACATATTGGTAAAATCGTTATAAATCATGATATAGATATGTTATCAAAAGTATTTAATGAACAAAAACAAAGTGATCAAATCATTATGAAGAACACTTATGATATATCAAGATTAGATATCGGTAAAAACATATTAGTAACAGGTCAAACAGGTATTATATTAGAAATTATGAAATGGATTGTTAAATATTCAAACAAATCAATCGATAATATTATAATTTTATCAAAATCACCATTAAAATGGGAACTAGAACTTTTAATCAATCAAACTAAACATCAAAAAGATAATACAATTAATTTCCACTTTAATCAAATCGATATCGAAGATAGTAATAAAGTTCATGATGTATTAAACAATCTAGAATCAAACTCAAACATTACAAATATCGATACAGTAATTCACTTTGCATTTATAACTGATATTTGTGATGTTCAAGATATCAATATGAATGGTTTAAATATGACACATGGTCCAAAAACAATTGGTGCATTCAATTTACACAATGAATCAATTCAACGTTCATGGAAATTAAAACAATTTATAATGGCATCATCTGTATCATCAAATATAGGTTCATATAGACAATGTTGTTATGTTAGTGCTTGCAATACAATTGACTCATTATCAACATATAGACAATCAATTGGACTACCATCACTATCAGTAAATTTAGGTGCAGTATTATCAACTGGAATTGTATCAAGAAACGAAGCAATGGAAGAAATAATAGAATCATCAATTTATAATTTTATTTCGCCACAATTAATTTTAAGTTCACTAGATCTCTTCATTCAAGATAAAAAAAATTATTCAAACTATTGTTTGTGTAATTTTAATTTTGAAAACGTGGTATCTTCAAAACCAAACTCTAATTATTATAAACTTGACTATCAATCCAATATGATTAAAAAATCACATTTATCATTAGAAGGTGGAAGTAACCAAGAAATTTTAAAAACTAAAGTAATAAATAAAATATCAGAACTACTTTCAATCGATGAGTCAAAAATCAACTTAGATTTCCATTTAACTCAGTATGGTCTCGATAGTTTAGTTATTGTTCAATTAAAGAACTGGATAGATAAGCAAATAGGTAGAAATATAATTACAATACAACAATTACAAACCAATAGTATATCCCAATCACTACATATTATTTTTAAAAACCATATGGAAAATAATAAAAAAAAATAAAAAAATATATTATTAAAAAGTTTAAAAAAGGGTTTTAATTCCTTCTTTAAATTTTGTAACAAATGATTATCTATGAATAATAACCTTATATAAATTTTTTATTAATAAATCAAAAAAACAACACCTCCAACCACATTTTTTTATTTCTATGCAAAAATGTGAATTTAAATTTAAATTAAAAACTAATAAAAAATTTTTGATTCAAAACATACAATTTTTTCCGTTAATTTTCCCATATGCAATATTATAAATATAAAAATTTTAAAAAAAAACATATCAGTACCAATCATTGTTGTTTTTAATTTTCTATTTTTTCATAAAGAATTTTGATTGTGATTTAAAATTATGTTTATTTTAAATTATTAACAATTATCGTTATAGTATTCTTTTAAAAATTTTAAAAAACACTAACCATAATAGGATTAAAATGAAGATTACTATAATTTTAGAACTCTTAAATAAAAACCTAATTTTGGATTTTTATGAATCTTTAAAAAAAAGAAAAAAAATAAATTTTTTTTTTTTGTATCTTATGTTAAAAAAATTAAAATAATTGGGAGGGGAATCAATAAAATCTTCTTTCAAATGTAAACTCCCTAATAATCTTTAATATAGTCAAAGAATAATGGTTTAAAGTAATTGGATGGGTGGAGCAAAACTAAATTTTTTTCGTTTGTAAACTCCCAATAATTTATCTTTAATATATAGTCAAAGTATGGTTTAAATCATTAATGAAATAAAATATCTTGAGCTCAAAATTGATTTCTTTATATTATATTATAATTATTAAAATAATTTCTTTTTATATTTTTTTTTTCATAATTTAAAAGAAATTATAGATCTTTACTTTTTTAATTTAAAAATTATTTCTTTATAAATAACAGTTTAATATTTTATTTTAATTTTTTTTAAAATTAACTTTTTTTATGAGGTGTAAAATCAATAAATTTAATAATTAATTATAATAATAATAAAAAAAAATAATTTATTATTAAAATAATATTTTTCAAAAACCGTTTTAATTTTTCAAATTTTTTTTATTTCAAAAATTAGTCTAGAAAAATTAAAATTGGGGTTTTTTTAAAATTTGCCCAATGGGCTATAAAAAAAAAAAAAATCTGCACAGAAATTAAAGTTCATTTATTAATTAATTATTTTTTTTTTTTAAAAATCAGAAATATAAATTTTTTATAAATTTTAATCTTGAATTATTAAACTTATTTAAAAAAAAAAAATCTATTTTTTATTTTTTATTTTTTATTTTTTGATATTGTATTTAATTATTTATACGTTTTATTTATTTGAAATTATTTCTATTGAAACATCTAATAAAATTGTTTATTTTTTTTAAAATGTCACCAAGATATGTTGTTCAAAATAATGATGTTGCAGTTATTGGTATTGGTTTTAGAGCACCAAGTGGTAGTTTATCTAAATCGATTTCAAATACAAATCAATTATGGGATAGCTTGGTAAATGGTTTCGATGGTATCGCAGAAACATCTGAAAGATGGTCTGATAACTATATTGTCAATGGTGATATCGTTTCCAAATATGCTGGTCTTATTCCACTTGATGAATGGAAGTCATTTGATCCAATTTTCTTTGGAATCAATCCAAGTGATGAACATGTCAATACAATCGATCCACAACAAAGATTACTGTTAAAGTGTACATGGGAAGCATTAGAAGATAGTGGTATTGATCCATTGACATTAAGAGGCTCAAATACAAGTACATTTATTGGTTCGTCAACTGAAGACTATGATTCTACAATTAAATCACCTTTTGAAACTCAAAATAATATTTTTGGATCATCTTCACACTCTTTGGCCAATAGAGTATCTTATTGCTTTGATTTTCGTGGGGAATCAATGACAATCGATACTGCATGTAGCTCATCATTAAATGCAATACATCTTGGTTATAAAACTATCAAATATGGTCAATCTGATGTATCTATTGTAGGTGGTGTTAATCTTATACTTGGTATGTATATCAGACTTTTAAAATAAATTAAAAGTTTTTACTTTATACTAATATTTTTTTTTATTTTTTATATTAGACCCAAACATATCAAAATCATTTTCTCATTTATCAATGTTAAGTCCAACTGGAAAGTGTCACACATTCTCATCAGATGCAGATGGGTATGTACGTTCAGAGTGTGTCGGTGTTGTTATATTGAAGAATTTAAAACAAGCAATCAAAGATGGAAATAACATTTACTGTGTTATCAAAGGTTCAAATTCAAATGTCGATGGTAACTATGATAAATCAAACTTTTATTCACCATCAAAATCATCACAATATGAAAATATTAAAACAGCAATCGAATCTACCAATGGCCAAATCAATGAATCAGATATTGATTATGTAGAATGTCACGGTACTGGTACTCTAACTGGAGATCCAATTGAACTAGAAGGTATTTCAAGAGTATTCAAAGATACAAACAAACAAGTTTTAATTGGTTCCATTAAATCAAATATCGGTCATGGAGAAGCATCATCAGGTGTAATGTCATTCATCAAATGTTGTGTAATGTATAAAAACCAATCATTTGTCCAAAATATCAACTTTAAATCACCAAACCCAGCTATCAAATTCGATGAGTGGCGTCTAAAAGTTGTAACTGAACCAACACCATTTAACAACAATAACAAAAATACTGTTATGGCTATTAATAACTTTGGTATAACTGGTAAATATATTATTAATTTTTTAAAAAAATATAGAAAAAATGAATAAATATATTAATAACTTTATATTTTAAAAATAACAACAGGATCAAATTGTTGTATTATTTTATCAGAATGCAATCGAAATATTATTAAAAATGAAAATAGTATAAACAAAAAGTATTTAATACCATTCTCATCAAACTCATCAATATCACTTGATAGATACAAACAAATTATTATGGATCAATCAGACACATTAGTTTTTAATGAATTTGTAAATAATCAAATCAAATTTAAATCAATATCACTCGTTCAAAGAACAGTTATTATTGCAAGTAATTGGAAAGAGTTTAAAGATTCGAAAAACGAAATCAAATCATCCAATATAAATACACTTTCAAATATTTCCGTAAAAAACAATAATCCATTTACAGTATTTGTATTTTGTGGTCAAGGATCACAATACAATAGAATGGCATTAGAACTATATGAAAATGATACAATATTCAAACAATGGGTAGATAAATTTGATAGCGAACTATTAAAATACTATGGGTACTCTGTTTTACAAAAATTAAGATCAATCGATGATAATGATACCAAATCAGTACACGATCATACTATTGCGCAACCATCAAATATTATGATTCAAGTATCATTATTCGAACTATATAAACATTGGGGTATCAAATCAGATTTAATCGTTGGTCATTCTCTTGGTGAAATATCAGCATCATATTGCTCTGGTATGATTGACTTTGAAACATTATGTTATTTAGTATACCACAGATCGGTAGCTCAAAATAAAACAACTGGTACTGGAAGAATGCTATCTGTAAATATAAGTGCTGAAGAATATTTATCAAATTATTCATCAAAATACCCAACAGTCGACATTTCTTGCTACAACTCACCATCATCAATTGTATTATCAGGTAAAGAACATTTATTAAATGAAATTGTAGATGATTTAAAATCAAAAAATATATTTTGTGTAATGTTAGGAACATTATCATCACTCCACACATCAAGCCAATTAGTTATTAAAGATGAAATATGTTCAATGAACACTAAATCAAAACAATCAACAACACCAATATTTTCAACAGTCACAACCAACCTATTTAATCACGAAACAACACCATTCAATTCAGAATATATATTTGAAAATGTTTTACAACCAGTAAGATTCACTCAAACCATTTCAAACATATACAAATATATTGAAGAAAACAACTATGGTAACGAAGTAACATTTATTGAAATTGCACCACATCCAACACTATCATTCTATTTAAATCAAATGAAATCAACACAATCATTATATTTTAATAATGGAGAAAAAATAACTATCCACTCACCACTTCACAAAAAGAAAAATGATTACAATGAATTCTTAAACACAATTTCAACACTTTATGTATACAACTCATTTAATATTAATTTCAAATCACAGTTAAAACAAAACTATCATAATTATATTCATAAATCATTAAACAAACTTCCATTATATCAATGGGATGATAAAATGTATTTCAAAAAAAATTCAACATATGAAAAGATAAAAAAAGAAGGACCTCCAATTCATCATCTTGGTGTTACAAATGATTCACCATCCAAATCATATCAAACATTTTTAGATACTAATAAAAAACCATTCCAATGGTTAAAGGGACATCAAGTAAAAAGTAAATATTACTTCCCAGGTTGTGGATACATCATTAATTTATTCAACATCTATCCAAATCAAGATATTACAATCAGTTCAATTGAATTTAAAACACCATTAATTTTACAAGATGATTTTAATCAATGTCTCCAAACAACTATTAATACACTTTCAAAAAATGAATTCAATGTCAAATCACACTTTAAAGATACAACTACAAATCAATGGGTATTGTGTTCCACTGGTAACTTTAGTTTATTCAAACATGGTAACGAAATAAACAGAGTCAATATTGATGAAATAAGAAATGGTTGCAACTTTACCAAAATATCAAAATCAGAGCTCTATGAATCAATTAAAATCAAAACCGGATTAACATACAAAGGTTTATTCCAAGGTGTCAAAGAATGCTATGTTGGTGATAACTGTTCTCTATCTATTGTATCATTAAATGAAATTCAAAATCAAAATGAATTCAATCATTTACTCAACAACGATACAATGAAATCATTCTTTAACACTGCAATACTAGATACATGTTTACATGGAATACTTGTTTTTATCAAACATCAATGCCAAATTGTATTAGATAAAATCGAAGGATTAAAATATTACTCATCAAACATACCATCACCAACTGATCAACAACATTCTGAAATATATGTATATTCCGAAATGAAATCAAGAATCAGTTTATACTCATACTCTGGATCTATTCAAATAATGTTAAATGATGGAACATTATTAATTGAAATCTCAAATGTAATTTGTACATCACACACACCAATCATTGACAATACCACAATTATTCCACCACCATCCAATGAAATCTATCTACCAATTCAACAATCAAAAGACTCTATCATCAATAAACCACAATCATTCAAACACTTGTGTCAATTAGAAGAATTGGGGAAAGATGAAATTTATCAACAAATAATATCAAAAGAACATTTATTAACACTATTTTATTATAATATTAATCAAAGACGTCCAAATATCAACAGAGAAACATTATCAACAATAGATTATATTCAATTCAAACAACTTTACCAAAATGATGAAGTAAATGAAAATTATTTTTTCTTTATTTTCGATATTTTAAAACAATATAATAGTTTAGGTATCAATAAACAGTTAAAAGAATTCCCTGACGGAAATAATGATAAATATATTAAACTTTTAGAAAAAACATCTCAAGTTATGGCAAAACAAATATTCCCATTAGAAAAAGACGATCCAAACATTGACAACCCTCAATCATTATTTGAAGATGGATTATTAGACCAATTTTATCAAAAATCAAATGTTATTAAATCAGTAAACAATTTTTTAAGTGATATTGTTTCAGAATCAATTAAACCAATTATTAATGAACCAATAGTATTCAGAATATTAGAATTTGGAGGTGGTGTAGGTTCATTATCAATTTTGGTATTAAATAAAATCAACAAACTATTAAATGATAATCCAACATCAAATATCGATATTGAATACACATGGAGCGATATTTCAGCATCATTTTTTTCAGACATTAAAGAAAAACTTTCAAAAATCAAAGGTGTCAATATAATCTATCGTACTTTAGATTTAGACAAGTCATTAAAAGATCAAGATTTAAAAGAACTCTATTACGATATGATTATAATGTCAAATGTATTACATGTTGTAAAACAACTTAGATTCAGTTTAAATGAAATTCATAATATTTTAACACCAAATGGTCAAATTATTTTTATTGAACCACCATACAAGTCAATATATTCTGACTCAGTATTCGGTGTATTCCCACAATGGTGGCCATCGCCAGAGGATATCGACATCAGAAAAGATAGAAGCTGTATGAAAATTGAAACCTGGTACAAATTACTAAATGAATGCAACTATAAAGATACAACAATATCTGGAAATGATAATGCCTCATTTTTAATTCAAACTAGAAAATCAAATATATATGAGATGGTATTATCAAATATAAAATCAATGAAACAATTTACATCTCATGATAATATTATATTATTTGGTAATAGTAAAGAAGGAATTCAAATAAGTGAATCATTCAAATCAAATCAACAATTATTTTCAAAAATTATACAAATGGATAACTTTAATGAACTTAACAACTGGATTATTAAATCAATTGATTCCATTAGACAAAGTAAAACATTAATTATCTTTATGAAAGCTATAGATCCTTTGGATATCAATAATTTTAAAGAAATAACACTGGAATACATTCAAATTAATCAAATGTTACTTCAACTTGAAATTGAAAACTTTTTTAAACATGTTTTAATATTATTAAACTCAACAACAAACAACTATTTATCATCATCAATCAATGGTTCAGCAAGATATTTCGCAGAATTCCCACAATTAGATTTATATTCATTAGATTTCGATAATATTTCAATGCAAAATGAAAATATACTATCACTTATCGATATATTAATAAATCCAACAACAAATATTCAAAAAGAATTTACAATTAAAAACAACACAGTATATTATGAAAGATACAAAAAACAAACAAAAATTAAACAATCATTTACATCCAAATCATTCGAAACAAATAAAGATAATTTAATGATTCAACTTGATCCAAATTTAGAATATGTATTAAAAACTAAAAAACAAAAACTACAACCAAATGAAATAGAAGTTCAAATAAAAGGTACCGGTATCAACTATAAAGACTATTTAATGTATATTGGTCAAATATCAAATAGTGTTGATATAAAATATGGCAAAGAAGAAGAAATTGAAAACGGATTAAATCAAATGCCAAATATTGGAAATGACTTTAGTGGTATTATTACTCGTTGTGGTAGTGGTGTTAAGAAATTTATAATTGGAGATGAAGTATTTGGAGTTGCTTCAAAAACTAGTGGATCACATATTATAATCGATTATAGATATGTTTATTACAAACCATCAAATATTTCACATGTACAAGCAGCATCTATTCCATCAGTTTATGTTACGTCATTACACAGTATATACTATACTGGTAATTTACAATCGGATCAAACTATTTTAATTCATTCAGCTGCAGGTGGTGTCGGTCTATCAGCATTAGAACTACTAAGGGGTAAACAACACAAAGGTTATATATTTTTAACAGTCGGTTCAAAAGATAAAGAAGAATACTTATTAGATAGATATGGCTCATTTATTACTGGTATCTACTCATCAAGAAATAAAAACTATGTTCATCAAATTAAAGAAAAATTAAAACAATTACAATGTGACAAATATCATCAAGGTGTAGATTTAATATTAAATACACTTTCATCAGAATATATGGATTCAAATTTCCAATGTTTAAATACTTGTGGTAGAATTGTAGATCTTTCAATTACACATTTAACACCAAATGACTATATGACAAACAATCACTTTAAATACAACTATGGATATAATAATGTAGAACTCGTTGATTTTCCAGGATCATTATTTGAAAGTTTATTAAAAAAAGTAGTTAAAATGTTTAATTCAAATGAACTAGAACAAATTCCAATCATTGAATACTCAAATGATCAATTTAAAGATGCAATCGAATATATTAATGAAAGACAACATATTGGTAAAATCGTTATAAACCATGATATAGATATGTTATCAAGAATATTTAATGAACAAAAACAAAGTGATTCAATAATTATGAAGAAGAGTTTTGATATATCAAGATTAGATATCGGTAAAAACATATTAGTAACAGGTCAAACAGGTATTATATTAGAAATTATGAAATGGATTGTTAAATATTCAAACAAATCAATCGATAATATTATAATTTTATCAAAATCACCATTAAAATGGGAATTAGAACTATTAATCAACCAAACTAAACATCAAAAAGATAATACAATTAATTTCCACTTTAATCAAATCGATATCGAAGATAGAAATAAAGTTCACAATGTGTTAAACAATCTAGAATCAAACTCAAACATTACAAATATAGATACAGTAATTCACTTTGCATTTGTAACTGATATTTGTGATGTTCAAGATGTCAATATCAATCGTTTAAATATCACTCATGGTGCAAAAACAATTGGTGCAATCAATTTACACAATGAATCAATTCAACGTTCATGGAAAATAAAACAATTTATAATGGCATCATCTTCTGTTTCAATTATTGGTTCAAATAGACAATGTTGTTATGTTAGTGCTTGCAATACAATTGACTCATTATCAAAATATAGAAAATCAATTGGACTACCATCACTATCAATAAATTTAGGTGCAATATCATCAACTGGATTTGTTTCAAGAAATGATGCAATCGAAACAATGTTCCATAGTTCTACTTTTAAATTTATTTCACCACAATTAATTTTAAGTTCATTAGATCTCTTTATTCAAGATAAAAACAATTATTCAAACTATTGTTTAACTGACTTCTATTTTGAAAACATGGTATCTTTAAAATCAAATTTCAATCTTATTAAATTTGACTATCAAACCAATAATGTAAAAATAATCAATAAATCAAATGATTATAGTAACAGTAATGAAAATATTAAATATCAACTTTTAAACAAAATATCAGAACTACTTTCAATAGAATCATCAAAAATCAACTTGGAATTCCAATTAAATCAGTATGGTCTCGATAGTTTAGTTATTGTTCAATTAAAGAATTGGGTAGACAGCCAGTTTGGTTTCAATTTAATTTCAATACAACAATTACAAAACAATAAATTATCCCAATCACTAGATATTATTATTAAAGGTAAAGGTATATAATAATTTAAATAAAATAAAATCTTTTTAGTCTAATAAATGTATAATTATTATTTATATTTAAAGGGAGGCATATTTCTATTTTGTTTCTAAATTTGAATGAATTGGGTGTTTGAATAATAATGCTAGTTATTATCAGAATTATTGTCAATAGACGAAATGTTTTTTTTTACAATTATAAATTTATGTTTATTAGTTTATCATTAAATTATTTGAAATGGTATTTAAATTATTTGCAAATGGTTTAAATGAGAATTTTTCATTGACACGTTGTTTACCTGCAAAACCCATTTTTTTAGAGTGTAAAGGATCGCTAATAATTTTTTGAAAAGCTTCAGAGAAATCTTTTTGATCTGGTGGGCAGAGAAAACCGGTTTTGGAATCTACAACAGTTTCTAATGGACCACCATTATTAACAGCAATAACAGGCTTGGATGCATACATTCCTTCCAATGGAGTGATACCAAAATGCTCGAATGATGGGGTGTAAACTAAACAACAACAATTTAAAAGTAACCATTGTTTTTGACCTTCGTTAATTGAACATAAGAAGAAAACACGATCTTCCAAACCATACTCTTTGGTTTTTTCTTTGAGTTCTTCCAAATGCTCTACATTCTCCTTTAAACCTGTATCGTATCCACCTGCAAATACTAAATAAATATCTTTATTTGGGTTATTTGAATAAACTACACTAAATGAATCCAATGCTAATTTTAAATCTTTCTTTCTTTCATATCTATTAATTGATAAAAAGAATTCTTTATTTCTATAAGTGAATTATAATATATTAGTATTATTAAATTTTATACTTTATGATTCTATCATTTTATTCATATTACTTACTCTAATGAAATTGGTTTATTATTATATTTAGTTTGATTTGAAAAATCAGATGATTGTTTAGTTTTGTCAAATTCTACAGTATTCAAACATGGATAAAGTACATTTGGTGATTTTTTAATATGAGTAAATGATTTTTTAAAAATTGATGAGGTGAAATTACTGTTTACTAAAATTTCATCGGCACAGCTAGTTGTCCACTCTTCAAACAAATCGATTGGTACTCTATAAAGTCTTTTGATGGTTGAGTTTCTTGAGGTTAATAATTTATCTGGGAAATGGCAATAGAATAATACTTTAGATTTAGTGAACCACTTGAATAATGGGGATAGATGCTGAAATTTGATCCAATACAATAATATCATAAACTTTTTTTGAAAAGAAAATGATATGAATTGCAGCTAAAAGGTTTCTGATGATAGCGCAAATTACCATAAATCTATTTAAAAAATGACGTGGGAAATAGTCACCACATACTTTAACATTTAAATCACCATTAGCAGTCTCTCTGAAGCATCTAGTTGGGTCATGTCTGCTGGTATATACATCAATTTTATGTCCACAACTCTTTAAACCTAAAGCAACATCGACTATTAATCTTTCTGCACCACCAATACCTAAATCTGGATGAAGGATTGCTATATTATATTTATCTTCATCATCATTAATTTCTTTAATTTTACCCATTTCTTTTTTTTTATTTGACAAAGTTATATAAATATTAAAAAAAAAAAAATGAAAATTTAAAAATAAATAATTATAAAAAATTTAAAAAAAAAAATAAAAAAAAAAAAAAATAAAAAAAAATTATTTTAAATGATTTGTCATCATTCATTTTAACCAATGCATTGTCATCTTTTTGTTTAAATAATCAGTTTAACTACTATCTATAAAGGACTTAACCACTTTTATTTTAAACTGCCAATATTAATCTCTGAGAATCGGGACTTTCAAATAAAATCATTATTTAAAATAACCCCATAAAATAAATATCCACCCCCTAAAATTTAATATATCTTATCCCCATAAATAAAAATTAAAATACATTTTTTTAGTGTTCTAAAATATGACAATATAAATATTATATTTTTCTTTTTTCTTTTTTTTTATTTTTTATTTTTTCCTTTTCTATTTGATATTTTTTGTTTTTTATCATTTGGTTTTTGTTGTTGCATTTGTTGTTCTTGGTTATGTTGATCAATTGTTTGTTTTGCTTTAATGAAATCTTCGATTTTAACATCTTCTTCGGCGGCTGGTTTTGATGGTCCAGCTTGTAAAATTAAATCTCTAAATCTATTACTCTTTTGATATTGCTCCATAACCTCGGTTGGTGGGAATTTAACAACTTCACCAGTTGGACCAAATTCGAAACCAATATTTTGTAAGTCCATTTGAAATTGTTTTTTCCATTGGTCATCTGATAAAGTTTTTCTAGCTTTATCGGATCCTACACCTCCACTTCTACTTGAACTTGCTGAACCACTACTACCACTATCAGCTGACTCTTTCTTTTTTTCAGCATCCTTTGAAAATTCTCTTAAAAATATTTGTGCCCATGTTGATTTATCTTCTTTGTCCTAATATTAAAGAGTATTAATATTAATATTTATAAATAATGTATATATAAAAAATATACAATTAGTAAAAATACATACAGTTCCCTTATTCCAAAATACTTTAAAAATTACAGGCCATTTTAATAATAAAAGAACAGTAAAACTACTAAACTCTATACCACCGCTAGAAAATTCGTCCCAAATAATAGATTTCCATTCTGTTGAGTCACTTTAAATATATAAAAATAAAAAATAAAAAAAGAATATTAATAAAATAATAAAAATGAATCGAGATTTAAAATTTTTAATTTTATCGTTTTGCTTTTATTATAATATAAAAAATGTGTGTTTGTGTGTGTTTGTGTGGTTTGTGTGCGAATCACATAATTAAATACATTAATGACAATAACAAAAATAATAATATAAAGTTATAATATTATGTATATTCCAAATTATTATTGCTAACAATAATTAATAGAAAATTAAAAAATATAAAACCATTTGATAATTTAAAAACTAACCTTTTTCTAATTTGTGTATAAAGTGATTTAGCTCTCCAAAAGAAAAGAGTACATGTGATTAATATCATGATCATATAGAATGAATCAGTTAATAAACCAAAGAAATTATTTTGAACTTTTTCTTTAAATGATTTTGTTGGTGGTGGTGGTGGAGTTACATTATTTGTAGATGGTTGATCATTATTTGTATTATTTTCTTTACTTTTATCACTTTTATTACTACTATCTTTTTTATAATCGTCTGTAAATAAAAAATAAACTCTCCAAGAACAAATAACAACAACTAATTGAAATAAAAAAAACCAAAATCCTATAAATTTTATATAAATTGGTATATCATTATTATTTTCTTTTATATCTTTTGTTGTTGTTGTTGTTGTTGTTGTTGTGTTTGTTTTTGATTCTGTAGTTGTTTCCATTATATTACAAAAACTATATTTAATTAAAAATATAATATATAGATAAAAATGGTAATAGGGTAGTGATTATAATGTATATATTTGTGTGTGTGCGTTTATGTGTTATGTGTTTATGTGTGTGTGTGTCTTTTTTATTGATGTGTTATTGTTAATTTTTTTTATATTCGACACATTAGTTTAAAATAATAAAAAAAATTTTAAAAAAATTTTAAAAAAAAATATTAAAAATAATTTCGATGGGGGACGTAATTTATATGAAAAAATTATTTTAAAAAAATAAAAAAAATAATATTTAATTTAGAAAAAAAAAAAAAAAAATAATTATCTCATCATTTATTTATCTTTTTCAAACTAAAAAAAATGAAATAATTTTAATCAAATAAGTAGTTAAAATTTTAATTAAAAACTCTTAAAAGAAAAAAAAATATAACAAAAAAAACAATAAAACGATAAATGATAACCTTGTAAGAATATGTAATTATGTATGATTAATTGTTTTTTTTTGCATATTTTTTATTTATTTATATATTTTTTAAAAAAAAAAAAAAAAAAAAAAAAAAAAACCAAATGCCTTTTTTTTAAACAATGTTACAACCCCTAATAGTTTTAAATAATTAAATGTACTTTAAGTAAAATTATAAAAATATAAAAATAAAAAAAAAGATTTCAAAATAAACAAAACAAAATAATAGTAAACAAATAATAAAAAAATTAAAGATTTAAAAATATAGATAAAAACAAATTTTATTTTTAATATTTAAACGAAAAAAATATCATTTAAATAAAAATAAAAAAAAAAAGAAATATATAAACTATATACTTTAAATATAAAAACTCAAACAACCTAAAATGAAATCCAATTGTTTTTGTAATATTATAAATAATATTGTAGTTTTAAAAATGAAAAACAATCATATAATGAGTATAATATTCATTTTAATAGCAATAATTTTAAATGATAATAATAATTATAATAGAGTGGTTGGATCCATATTAAGTACTGCTACATCAACATTAGATTGTCATGATGTCTTTATGGGTCATTTTACAAGTGGAGTTGGTGTTAATAAAAATCTTCAAATCACAGTTATAAACCCTAATGGGGTAGTATCGATCAGTAGAGATTCAATATCCTATATTGAGAATGGAAACTATATAACAAATGTAAAATTATTTCCAACAATATTCTCAAATAACGAACATTGTATTCGCAGTCAATCACAACTTTTTAATCCATCTCAAAAGAAAATAAGTTTTGGTGATAGAAATGGAATCATCATTAATCCAAATGGGGTTGTCTCATATAAACCTATATGGAGTACAGTTGGCGAATTCAAATTTAATATATCTTGTGAAAAGAATCTATATTATGGGGTGGAGCAAAAGGCACTTTATTTCAATTACATTTACAAATGATAAAGAACTTAATGGTCCGTGTCAAAATCAATAAAATCTATTTTTAATTTATAATAATTAAAAAAATAACCCTAAATAAAACTTACTTTTATAATAATAAAAAAACTAACAATATCCTTTTTTGAATTTATTATAATTTTATCAAAATTAGTAACTATAATAATAATACTTTTACTTTATTTATTAAATTATTATAATTCTTAAAAAAAGTATGAAAATAGTATTGATTTTACATGTCTTATACTTCTAAATACAGTTTATTAAAAAAAAAGAAAAAATAAAAAAAAAGATTTATAAAGATGTAATTTAAGATTTTATAATAATAATCATTTAAAATAAAAGATTAAAGTTTTATAAAAACAAAAAAAGTTAAAATAACCACACCACACAAATACTTTTAAAAAAAAAAAAAAAATTTTGATTTCATTTTTTTATAGATATAAATGGGGGGTAAGAGTAATAAATTAAAACCTATATATGATTGATTTTAATGTTAGTTGTTCTTTTGGTAATGTATATCTATTTTTTGACATATAAATAATAATGATTATTACAAATAATTTTAAGTTATAATAAAATAAATAATTTATTATAATTTTATTTATTTTTATTTTTTTAATTTATTTATTTTTTTGGAGAAAGTATAAAATGGAAGAAAAAAAAAATAGATGATATCATTTTAAAATAAAAAAACAGAAATATTTTATTAAATAAATATACTTTACAACTAAGTTAATTAATTATAAAAAAAAAAGGAAAAAAAATAAAAAATGAAATTATTAAAAACTTTATTAATTTTGGCAACTGTTTTATTTTTTGTAAATAATGCATTTTCAAAAACCCTTTTAAAAACCAACTATGCTGATACCAAATGTACCAAAGGAAAAGAATTTTCTTATACAATGGTTGAAGAGTGCTCTATTGTGGGAAGATTCCAACTTAATAATACTCATGTTATCTGGTTTGATGAACATGGCGCAAAAACCAAATCAAAACCATTTTGCAACAATATGGACAACTCTACAATTGCACAACCATTAAACAAATGTATTGTAAGTGGAAAAGCAGCAACAAAGTACACAATTTTAAACAACAATGAACCAAAACGTTCATCCGGTGTTTGTGAATATTACTTTTACCCAGATAGCAAATGCTCCTCAACGTATGCTTACAAAGATGTTTTATTCAACAATGCATGCTTTATTGATGCCAATAACAACTATAAATATACTTCTTGTAATGCCACCCATATCTCTGACTACATTTGTGAAGATGCTGCCTGTAAGAAGAATTGTAAAATTAGAGGAACAATCATCAATGGTCCACAATCATGTGGTGCTTTCAAACGTAATGGTTTTGATGTATATCGTTCATTCAAAAAATACTAAACTCTAAAATAAAACTATTAACTATGTTGATATTATTGTATATTCCCAAATATATGTATTAAATAAATACTTTACAATATTTTAAAAAAAAAAAAAATTTATAGTTTTTATTTTATATTTTTATTATATATTTTTATTTTATATTAATATATTTATAAATTGGTTGGGGATGAAGGTTTTGAAGATAATTTGTTTTTTGTATGTAACAATTTCTTTGCTATAAACATTGCACAAGATTTCGATCCCCAATATTCAATATGCGCATATATTGAACTTATATAATATGGTAAAAAGGATGATGTTTCTTCTATATTAAAATCGTATCTATTTTCATATTTGTCGAAATAGGAATCTGAATCTTTTGTTAGTGACAATGTTAAAATTTCCCTAACCATAGGCTTTGCTGGTGTTGTAGCTGTAGTGACTGCTGTTGTAGAGGTTGATTTTTCCGTAATGGTACCATCCTTAGATACAGTGTTGGTCGAGTTTGTATCCTTAAGTTTTAACTCTTCTTTTAAACTTGAACGATTACTGCCTCCATTTACTTTTTGCATAGACTTTTGAACATTTGATATTGTCATTAAAAATTTAGATTTAAATGATGATTCGCTGCCATTTGCTTTTCCTGCTGATGTGTTCATTAAACTGTCATCATAACTGTCAGAATCGCTATCTTTAAATAAGGATGGTGAATCTGGTTCCAATGGATGAACTTTAAAACTTCTTGACATGTTGGCAATATTTTTTTCCATTTGAATTTCTTTTTTCTTCATAGGTGAATCTGAATCGTCACTATCCAAATCTATAACCTGTGTTGTTGATGTTGGGCTATTATTTACACTGTTACCTGTACTACCATCACTATTTGTAAGATCCATAACCTCCTGGTTTTGGGTAGGTGAATTAGAATTGGATCTGGTTGTTGTCGTTGTAGTTGTTGATTGAACAGTCCCTGTATTTGGTGACGTTTCTTCTTTACTTGTTGTGGTTATTGTTGTTTTATTGGAATCTGCTGATTTTGTTGTTGTAGTAGTAGTTGATTTAAAAAACAAACCTGATAATTTTTGCTTTAATGGTTTCTTTTCCACTTCGACCTCGATTAAACATGGGTCATATTCTAAAAACTTTTTATCGAAAAAAGGCTCAATTCTATAAGCAACAGGGTCAGTTGGTGAAAAAATATTAAACCACTTTGTGCAACATGGCATAACCTCTGAAAACTTTAATGATCCTAATTGAGTACCTTTGATTGTTAAAAACATGCCCACTGGACTACCAAATGCAAATACATTCTCCACGTTAAATGATATCAAACCATTCGATAAAATATCCCATGTAATAACAGAACCTAGAGAATGCGCAAAAATGGAGCAAGTACCTTTAAAACTTTGATTTTTTTCTAAAAAACCTTTATAACCATCATTGATCTGGCTTGATACTTCGTTTAATATCTCTTGATGATACATTGGGGACATATATAACAAAACATCCAATAATGTCTCATTAATAAATTCTCTAATTTTTTTAACCCCAACAGGTGAAATTTTTTCTAAATTACTATTGATAATAAAAAAAATATTAATAAAACATGTTATTTTTAGGTTTATAAAAATACTGTTTAAATAAAATATTTACTTATTTAAATCATCATTGTTTCTTAATTTTGAATGCCACTCTATAATTTGAAACTCTACATTTAGTTTTTTATTTGATGAATCCTTTTGAAATAATTCGCAATTCTTTTTTAGCAAAGCAACATTTTGCTCCAATGTTTGAACCCTATTCTCTGATCCCTGATTACCAATACCATGTATAATGAATACCAAATGATCAAACTCTGGCTGTGGGGGATTTGCTGCCTCCTTTCTTTCTTTTTCCAATCTTTCCTCGGTTAATAACTGTTCTTTTAACACTGGATCGATATCATAAGGATCTGCTGGTGCATCTATTTCAAAAGATTTCATTGTTGATACTGTGGATGTATTGTCAACCAACTCTTCTTCATCTTTACTTGAGACACTACTACTTAGACTACTATCACTATTTGATATTGTTGATGAATTTGATAATGATTTGTTGTGCTTAAGAGGTGGTGTTGTATTGTTATTATTTATATTATTTGTTACTGTGGTTGTATTGTTATTGATGTTTGCAGTGTTATTAATATTATTGCTATTATCTAATAATGTATTGTTAGCTATACTATATGCTGGTGGTGGTTGTGGTGTTATAAATTGACTCCACGACAATGACATTGGTGATCCTAACTGAGGTGATTGCATAGTTAATGAACCTAATCCTAGTGATGAAGTAGAATCATTTAAACTATCTTTTTGGTCTGAATCTCTTCTACTTATGATTCTATTATTCATACTATAATTATAACTATAATCATAACTACATTCTTCATTTCTACCTTTATTATTTACATTATTTTCTATACTACTATTATTATTACTATTATTAAAACTAATATTATCATCACTACTATCTATTACTATGCTATTTTCATACTCGTTAAAAACCTCCAATCGTTTAAAAGTATTAATTTCTTTTAATTCGATTTCATTTGAATTAATGATACTATTATTTATGTCAATATTATTATTATTATTCGACTCTTCTATTTTTCTTTTTAACGCCTTATTATTATAACTATAATTGTTATTTAAATTATTTAAATTATTTAAACTATTATTTTTATTATCATTATCATTATTATTATTGTTATTGCTATTATTACCGCTTGTATCTATCATTGTATTATTATTTATTTTTTTGGGGTACTATAATGTATTATTATTTTCTTTTTTTATAATTCAATTTTAATTAAGAAAATAAAATAGAGAAAAAATAAATAAAAGAAATAAAATAAAAAATAAAATATTTAAAAAATAAAATTTTATAAAATACCACGCTATAAAAAAACTTTATATTATTTGTTAATTTATATTATTAGTTAATTTGTAAATAATTATTAAAATATATAAATGTGTGTGTAATTATGTGTGTGTTTTTTTTTATTAAATATTTAAATTATAATAAACCTAATCCTTAAATATTTAAATTAAATTTTTACTTTTTTTTTTTTTTTTTTTTTTTAATTTAATTTATTTTTTTATTATTTTTTTTTAATTTATTTTTTAATTTATTTTTTTTGAATTTAACTATAATAGTCATTTTTCAATAATTTGAAATTATTAATAAAATTACTAAACGAGATTGATTTTATAAAAATTTAACAGAAGAGTATTTTTTTTTGAATATAATAAATTCATGAATTATAATAATAAATGAAAAAAATACTGTATGTAATACTATTTGTCTTTATCTATAAATCAATAATTATAAACCATTATGGTTTAAATAAATAATCTATGTATATATACATATAATAACACAAAAAAATTACAACAAACCAACTCCTAACTCGAAAAATTAAAATTAAAAAAAAAATTAAAAATATAAAAAAAAATTAAAAAAATTAAAAATAAAATAAAAAAAAAAAAAAAAGTTTAATTTTTTGGAAAAAAAAAAAAAAAATGAGTAATCACAACTTTTTGATAATAATATTGTCTATTGCAACACATAATACACAACACACCACAATACACAATACAAATAAATAAAATATATTTTTCCACTCTTTTTTTTTATATAATTAATTTTTTATAAAAGATAATTTTAATTTTTAAATTTTAAAAATTTAAAAACAAGCACACTGTGTATATTTTATATCATACCCCAAACAATAACTTTATAGAATGGCAGATGATGAAGCATTGGTAGGTTATATATAATATATATATATATTTATATATATCTATTACTATACTATAATAGAATTAAATTAATTTTATAGCACATGTGATAGATAACTAACATTTTTTTTAATAAATAATAATGTAGCCATTTACCTATGTAGACGATAATGTTGTTGATGGGCTAGAATGTCCAATTTGTTATAATCCGATATTAGACCCTGTTGAGCATAGCTCTAAAAACAATAGTTGTAATTCATCATTTTGTAAAGCATGTGTTGGAAATTTAAAAACCTGTCCTATTTGTCGTTTGGAAGTATCCAACTGGACAAGAATACCATACACCCCATCAACATTACGTTTTATATTTAGACCCTTATCAGAATTAAAAGTAACATGTAATGTTTGTAAAGAACAAACCACTAGAAAAGATATTAAAAACCATGTGGAATCCTGTAAAATTAGTATGTATTATTTTGCAATATAAATTTAGATTAAAAAAACAATATTTTAACCATATTTTTAAATTTTAGAACTACCTGAAGGTTTATATCCAGAAAGCCTAAATGAAAATAATAATAATAGACAACCACAGCAAAATATAATTTCAAACTTTTTTGGTGGAATCTCTGATAAATTAAAATTCAATAATAACAATAACAATAACAATAGCAATAATAAAAATCAACAACAGCAACAACAGCAACAACAACAACAACAACAACAGCCCCAAGATCAACAACAGGCTCAACTTCAAGCTCAGCAACAATCTCTACAAGCACAACAATATGCACAACAACAAATAATGAACTCTCAATCCCAATTGATTCAACAACAAACCCAACAACAAGTTGATTTGGCTCAGCAACAAATACAACAAATGCAACAACAAACCCAACTAAGAACTCAACAGATGCAACAACAAACCCAACAACAAATTAATTTACAACAAATTCAAAATGCCCAAAAACAAATTTTATTATCACAACAACCAAGCTATGTATATCCAATACCAACACCAACAGCAAATGAAAGTTATAAAAATACAGTCATACCACCAATAAATAATCCATCAATAAATAATAATAACATGACTATAAACGCCTATGATAAAAATATTGGTAAACCTAATGTTCCTTCTTTTTCAAGTATTCAGCAACAAATGCCTTATATTCAGCCATATTATAAACCAATTCCATATTATCAATCACCTTATCCTCCACCAACTCCAGCTCCATTACCACCTTTACCACCACCACAAACACCTGCTCCTCCACCTCCAACATTTTATCCCCATTATTATTATACAAATACAAACCAAGCTACCAATAACAACTATTATCCATCCACACCAATTCCAACCCCATCATCAATATTAATGAATAGTTTACAGCAATCAGCCTCGCCTGCTTCAACTCCTCCAAGCAATACATTTAATGGCAATAGTAGTATCAACAATAGTTTTTATACAAACCCAGCTCAATCTAGACAGTCTCTTGTAATCCAATCATCAATCTCAGACCCACATTTAGCAAATACATCTGCCTCATTAATTGATCAAGAGTTGGAAAATGATCAATTTTACCCACCAATACTTCAATTTTCATCCAATATTTTATCTAGTTCGCACAATTTAACCGACGTAAACTTCAACGACCAAACATTAAAAAATATTACATTTTTATCAACAAACATATCAAACTCGCGTTACCAGCATGCAAAATTTGATAACTGTCTCTTTCAAGAATGTAATATTAATAGCTCATCATTTATCGAATCAACTTTCATTAATTGCATATTTATAAATTGTAATATTAATAGTTGCGACTTTTCAAAATCACATCAAGAAAATTGCTACCATGTCAGTGGTGATATTTCAGATTGTAACTTTTTCCAATCCAGTGGTAGTAACATAAAATATGTTCGTATCAATATGCGTAACAATAACTTTGCTCATAGTTCCCCACGTGCCGTATTCTGTAAATGCACTTTAAACACTATAAACTTCCAAAATTCAGATTTCTCAAAAACTAGATTCAAAATCTCTCAAGTAGCATTTACAAACTTTGCAAGTGTCCACTTTGACCTACTTTTAGATCATATTTTTGATTACCAATCAGAAAAAAAGTCATGTAAATTTTATTAATAACAAATATTTAAAAAATAGATTTAATAAAAAAAAAAAAAACAATAATAAAACAAAATATGTGTATTCAATCTAAATAATATCTATTTAGAAATTAATTTAAAAAATAAACAATAAACCTAGTGTATGCATATTTGCAAAACAACCAAAACAACATCTCTTATAAAAAAAAACCTATAACCTATATTCCTAAATAAAATAAACTGTGTGCGCTTTTTTTTTTTTTTTTAATATATTATTATTATAATTAAAAAGTTTATTCTCTTTCTTCGCTTCTTAATCTGGCGTTTGGAGCAGTGACTTTAATGTTGAGTTCAGCAGCTCTTTCAACGATGGCTTTTCTTGATTTGGCTGAAACACCGTGGAAGATGACAGCAGCGTATCTACGGTTTTGCATTAAGAGGACTTCTAATTCTTGAACATTTCTGATGACAAAACGTTTGAAACCATCTGGGCAAACATCTCTGGTAGCTTTGGCTGAACCAAAACCAATTGATGGCATGGCACGTGAACCTGAGAATCTTCTTCTGACTCTGTTATCAATACCCTATTATTTTTTTAATGTCCAATTAGTCATCTGTGTACATTTATAAATAATCATCCCCCCATCCTGTATATCCTGCATCATTATTATAAAATACTTACTCTTGGTTTTCTCCATGAGGAACCAACTCTTTTGAATAAGTCAGATTGGAAACGGTTAAATTTGGTGGTCTTCTTTTTGACGATTTTAGTTCTGAGAATTGGTGATGGCATTTTCTATATAAGATAATCAATTAATTTATGTTCTTTGTGTGTATATATATGTATCCCACTTATGTGTGGGTGTGGTGTATGTGTGTGTTATAAACATTGTGAATTGATGGATAAATGATAGATTGTTAAAGATAAATGTGGATTGATGAAAGATAAATGATAAAAGTGAAACAATAGGCAATATATAACGAGATAGAGATAATCTGTATACATACTGTGTTGAGTCTAAATCACTAAAACGATTAATTCTACTGAAGCCTTTTTTTGCGCAGTTTTTTTTTTTTTCAATTTTTTTAAAATTTTTTTAATTTTTTTTTTTTAATTTTTTTTTAATTTTTTTTTTTTAAATTTTTGTTAATGCAAACAAAATTTTTTTATATGAGCGTTACGATTTTATCCATATTAAAAAAAAAAAAAAAAAAAAAAAAAAAATTAAAAATAAACTACAATGAAATAAAATAATAAACAATATATATATATATATTTTAAAAATAAAGTAACATTTATGATGGATCAATAAAATAACACACACAAAAATTAAAAAATTTTTTAAAAATTTTTTTTTAAAAAAAATATTTGTATATATCTTTTTTTTTTTTTTTATGATAATTTTAAATTAAGATTTAATAAATTGATAATATTAATTTAAATGATGAATACACTCTGTTTAAAGTTATTTTTTTAAAATTTTTTTTTTATTCTTTTTTTTTTATTCTTTTTTTTTTATATTTTTATTTATAAATTAATTACTTTTTGCAGCTAAAGGAGTATAGTTGAGTCTGTATTAAATAATGGGAATAAAGTGTTAGTAAAGTGAATATTAAATAATAGAATGATTGATAAAATAAAGTCTTACAATTTTTCGATTAAATCTACATGGGTTAAAAGCATACGTCTGCAACAATATCTCTTTAAACATAAAGCATCTAAAGCATCACTATTAATAATAAAAAAAAAAAAACAATATAATTAATATTTGAATTGATAAATTTTTATTTTTGATTTGTTGTTTTATTATTGGTTGATAATTTCGATTGGTTTGAGATATTTCGTTTTGATTATTATTACTATTTTTATTATACAAAAAAAAAAATAAAAAAATAAAATAATAAAAATAATAAAATGATTGTAATAATGGTGGTGATAATGATGATAATGATTTGATCTTGAAATATTTATTAATTATAATCCTGTATTGATTCTTACCCTTCAGTATATTCAATTTGTAAAAGACTTAAATATGCATCCCACTTATTACCAATAACCTTTAAAAATAATAAAAAAGGTTAGTATCATAACTTTTTTATAATCAAACCATCACTAAAATTAAATATTTACTTTTCCACAAGTAAAACAACGAACTGGAATAATCATTTTATTATATATATATTTTGTATTGTTTGAGAAAAAAAAAACTTTGAATAATAAAGTTGTTGTTATTTATTGGTTGTAATTCGATTACTTTAAATTAATAATTTAGGAATCGATTTAAAAATTGATTTATTCTTTAATAAAAATGAATAAAAAATAAAGATATAAAAAAAATAATAATTTGTATGAATTTTATTTAAATAAAAAAAAAAATGAAATAAAATTTTTTTTTTTTTTTAAAAAATATAAATTTTTTCGTTTCTTTTTTTTTTTTTTTTTTTTATTTTTAATTTTTTAATTTTTTTTTTTAAAAATATTTATTAATTTACTTAAATTAGGATCCTAATTTGTAAATTTTTTTACAATTGATAAAGATGGCCTATTTATATATTTTTTATAATTATCATTTGATTAATCAATATTATGTTAAAATAATAAATCAATAAATAAAACAACACAAATAAAAAAAATTAAAAGTTTGTTTATATTTTTTGCAGTTATTTTATAAATATCAAATATCAAATATCAAATATCAAAAATCCAATATAAAATTTATAATATTATAAATACAATTTAGCTAAAGCTATGTCTATAAATAAAATAATTACGGGATATCAATGATGGTGATGACGACATCACCAATCGATTTCTAAAAGTTTTTTTTAAATTCATTGGTAGGTTTATTGGATAATATAAACCCATTCTATTTATTTCTATTAAAATTTTTAACCATTTTTTAAAATTTTTTTATTTAATCAAATGATCTATTTAGATATTTTTTAATTCTTAGCAGAACAAGGTGTCACTACACATTAAAAAAAAAATAGCTGGGAGTAACAAAAAAAAAAAAAAGAAATCCCCAATTATTTTTTTAATTACCAATCAATACCCCAAAATATCTTTTTTATTTATTTTTTTTAAAAAAAAAAAAACCATCACCTTTCAAACATAGGAATTGGAATCACCTACGCAGACATCATCACACAAAAAACTTTGTTTTTTTTTTTTTTTACAAAAGATATTTTAAAAAAATCTGACACTTCCATCATCACATTTATATTTTTATATTTTTTATTAATTTTTTTTGTATCCGCAAAATAATAAAAATAATAATAAAAAAAAAAAAATCATCATTCAATACAGTTTTTATTTTATAAATTATATATTTATATATATATTTATTATATATATTTATTATATATAATTTATATATATAAATGGGGTTTTTAGATTTTTATAAAACAGTATGGAGGTTTAGTTCAATTAAAGTAAAGGTTGCAATTTTCGAAGCCGTTGTAGTTACTATATCATCAGTGGTGGCCTTAATACCATGGGAAAAAACTGGTGTCGAGTGGGACGATGTTACCTTAATTTTTACACCAATTTTATGTTTAATGGTTTCAAATAATGTTTCATCATTCACCAACATTCACATTACCATCACAATGTTACTGGGAACTTTAATTGGAAGTTTATATTGTTATATTATTGAGTTGATTACCAAAGACATCATATGGATAACATTTATAACTACGTTCATCATGTTTTATGTTGTTGCTGCTCTCTCAAATATACCAAATAGAAGATGGATGACTGGGTTGTTTCTAAAGAAAATGTTCTTGGATATTTTTATCAATCTTTATTTTACCAGATTAAGTTTTCTCGAAATTGGTATAATGGAAAATATCTATTGTGTTTTGTTTATTCTTGGCGCTTTGCTTATTGGCTCTGTTTTGTTCCCAATGCTAGCATCTCGTTTAATCTTTGGCAAGGTAATAAAGACCATGAGATCAACAAGAGTATATTTCCTTTTGCTTGGTAATCACCTCGAAGAGAATTTATACAGGTTAGGCAATGACAATGGTAACTCAAAGTTTGAAATCGGTGGTAACACAAAAGTCAATAGAAAGCAAACATCTTTTCAAACATTCGGCCAAATTGAGAACCAGCTTATTAAAGAACAACAATCAAAGCAAGATGAATCCTTTTCTAAACCAGTGCTCAATATTAGTGTTCAAAGATCTTTATCAGTCCAAGATGCACCAATCGGGGTTACACCATTACTAAACTCACAAAATAGAGAGCCACAAACATTCCATGAAGAAAAGCTAAAATTACCATTATCGAGATCCAGAGCCAATGACCGTAGTTCAGTAAGTGTAGACATTGGAAACCATAGAACTAAATCCAAAAAAAATGAAGTAAATAATTCTAGTGCAGTTCCACCCCGTAAGAAATCAATTTTATCGACCCCAAGTTTCAACAAAAAAGTTAAAATCATCAAAACCCTTGGATTGGAAAAAACTGATGAAGAAATGCAAATTTTAGAAGTCGAATTGTCCACAAGAATTAACACCATGACCTGTTTGTATGTAGAATCCAAGAATGAAAGATGGAACGATGAATTAAACGAAAACTATGATGAATTGATTTCAAAGTTTGAAATGACTTTAAAGCAATTAATCTCAATTAAGAATTCAATCAAAAGTGGCTTTTCTCAAATTTCAAGTGATGAATTAATCGCTCCATTGGTGCCATTTATCGAGTGCTTGGTTGAAGAAGTATATTTACAAATGGGTATTATGGCCGATATTTTAAATTATAATAGTGAGGATTTAAAAGATGGAGCAGCTTTTAAATTGCTTTCCAAGTCATTCGACGAGACCCAAGAACTAATCGATAGAGTCAAGGGAGCTTTTAAGAATGTGGTAGATGCCTATCAACATGGAGAACACCCATTATTAAGCTATGACGAGGTTACCAAGGTTCATTTCTTTGTTCATGGTATTTTATCTTTTGCATTACAACAACGAGAATTTGCAGATATCTTAATTAAAGTTAAAAAGCTACAACGTTCGCACTCTGTTAGATGGGAATTAATCAGATATGGCCTTTTGTATGTAATTTCAGGTTTCCCACTCATGCTCGTTAAAAGACTCAAGTTCTTAAAAAGAAAGTTTTTCGGCTCATCATCACCAAGTTCAGATACTAAAAGTGAAAGTAAAGAAAATAACTTTGTAGCTTTATTTAAATGGATATATTTCCATTTCTTTAAAAATGGTAAATGGAGATTCCCATTACAGGTTTCATTTGGTTTGATATCAACAATTATACCATTTTATTATTTTGATGGTAGAACCGATCCATCAGGAACATTCGTTACATATGGTGTATGGACTGTCACTACAATTCTATTCGTTATGGGTCCAAGTTTGGGTGCTTCTATATCCAAAGGTTATGAAGAAAGTAAAGGTACTATAGCTGGAGCGATTGTTGGGTTCTTGGCATCTTTATTGTGCAGTGTCATACCAACACCCTATAAAGAAATTGTAATTTCAGTACTTATTTTTGCATTTACTTTTATCATCTCATTCCCTCATCAACACTTACCAAATGCTCAGGCAGCTGAAATTTGTGAACTAACTTTCCTACTACTTTTACTGGGCCAAAATTTAACACAAAAATTCGAATACATGTATGTTGTATTAAGAGCCCTTCACATTTTTATGGGTGTAGTTTGGAATGCAATTGTCTGCATGGTAGTTTTCCCATACTTTTCCTACAAGGCCACTAGAATCAAGATGTTCCAAATCACAAACTTAATGTCAGATTCATTCATTAATATTCTCATCAGTGGTTTAAGAATGAGTGAATCCATCAACGGTCAGGATTTACAAACATTTAGCAGTCATGGTGATGAACAATCAATAGGCAAAAGACAAGATGCAATTAAAAAGATTTTAATGGAACACAAAGATGACTTGATTATAAAAAACAATGCAGACAACATCAACAACATTATTAGACTACAGGATATTGGATCCATAGAATCAATTAGATACATGAGAGATAAAAAGAAAGAACAAATTTACGAATCATTAAAAGAAATTAGAATTGGTATCGATCAAATTAGAGAATCGTTGGTAGATGTCAAGTCTGAAATGTATTTTGTATCTCCATCAAAAACTGCATTTTATTATTCAATTGCCGAAAATTTAGACGAATGCTCCATCACCCTCTTTGCCTTGGAAAACTCATTCGATCCAATTTTTAGTGACCTCTTAATTCTATCAATGTTTGACTTGGTAAAGCCATTAAATGATTTATTCCAACAATTGATTAAATCAAAATCAGATATCAAATTAATGATGGCTGGTAAATTCAATGGTGACCTATCACAACATTGTGGATTAGTTAAAGAGAAATGGGATGCTTTTCAACACCAATTTAAATCCATTCGTGCATTCCTCTTAAATGAAAAGATGTTTCACATCCTTCATCCAGAACAAATACAATTTGGCTCAGGTATTCATTCAATTGAAATGTTCATCCATACATTCATCAAATTATTGGAGGATTTACGTTCAATTAAAAATGAAACCAGTTATTTAAAACAATTTTTAAGATTAAAATGAATTATTTAAATTTTAAAAATACATTTAAATATTTACTATATATTTAGAAAAAGAAAAAAAAAAAAAAAAAAAAAGAAAAAAAAAAATAAATAAATTGTATTGTGCCGTTCTTTTCTCCCCCTCCCTAATTAATCCGTTGATATATTTTGTTAATTCTTATATTACCTTTCTTTTATTTTATATTATTCTTAACAATTTCAAAAATATAAGATTTGTTTAAAATATCTTTTTTTTTTTTTTTTTTTTTTTTTTTTTTTAAAATTATATTATTATATATATTTTATAAAACATATCATTTATTTATTTATTTTTATTTATTTTATTTTATTTTTATTTAGATTAATTTTTTATTGTTATCATCTTTATATTTTCTCCAAAATACAAAACCAAAGATAAAGATAGCTTGGACAAATAAGAAATAAGTCCAGAAACCAAAGGTACCGCTGTGTTTTTGAATGGTTGAGGTGATTTGATCGGCGTTGTTACTGAGAATTGATGAGATTTTTTGGATATCTCTAGAGTTTGATTCAACCATACCTTTGAAAGAGTTTACATTTTGGTTTAATCTTTCAATATTTTTGGTGACTTCGTTATCTTGATTATTGAATCTGTTGTTAAGGGAGGCTTTAAGATCTTGCATATTTGCTTTGAATTCATAGAAATCTTTAACAAATTGAGATTGTTGAGTTTTAATTGATTCAAGATCTTTGTTTTGGGCAGAGCTTTTTAATAATGAAATCATAGCTTGGCTAATATCGTTAACTTGATCTCTTAAACCATCAAAACTCTTTTTGTATTCTGGGTCATCTAAAACAACATGTAATTGAAGAATGGCATCACTTAAACCATCAATCTTTTTACCTAAAAATGCAACTTGTTCCTTTTCTGATAAGTTTTTAATTTCTTCTTGGATACTATTGTGTTGTTGTTGTTGTTGTTGGTTTTGTTGTTGTTGTTGTTGATTTTGGTTTTGGATTAGGTTTTCGGTTTGTTGTCTAGTATATTCATTTAAAGTATTAATAAATTCTTGTTGTGAATTATATTCTTGGTTTTGTTGTTGATTTTGTTGTTGATTTTGTTGTTGTTGTTGTTGTTGTTGTTGATTTTCTTGTTGTTGTTGATTTTGTTGTTGTTGATTTTGTTGTTGTTGTTGTCTTTCTCTATCTTGTTGCTCTTGTCTTTCTCTTTCTTGCTTTTCTCTTTCAAATTGAGCATTGTTATAGTTCATTGTATTTTTATTGAAGCCATTTGAATCTAAACTGAAAGTGGTGAATGAATAGACATCGTGGTTATCAGTTAAACCACCAGTGGCAGCAGAAACACCAAATGTATAACGAATTGGGATATCAAGACGAACATTATCAACACAGTTTTCAAATTGATCATTACCATTGGCATCGATTTGAACGCTTAACATACCTTGGTAATACTTGATTCTAGCTTTGGCATTTGTTCTATCGTTTCTATATCTAGCTGAACAACTACCTAATTTCATATTGCTACCATCTTTAGCTGTTTCATAAAATTTAGTACCATCATTATAAAATACTGAAACTAATGGATGATTACCCTAAAATTTTAAAAAAAAAATAATAAAATAACAAAATAAAAAATTTAGTGTCATTATTTAAATTATTATTATTATTTTTGAATATATTTAATTTTAATGTTATACATACATCACCATCGTTATCAAAAGTATCGAAAACAACAGATAAACCTTTCCATAAATTTTTAGAACCATAGATTGATGTATCTTGATTGTTACCTTCTCTTCTGTCGATATACCAGAAAGCTAAACCATCAGCACCAATTCTTCCATTACCATGAATACGGAATTCTAAAACAACTTCCCACCATGGACTTTCTAATGGTTCAGTATTCCAAATTGAACCATAAACACTCTTTTGATCTGGTGTTAAACGAATGAAATCGTCATTTACAAAAGCTGAACCTTCAAGATCCCAATATAAAATACCAGTACCTGATTGAAGGAATGGTGCTCTAAATGAGTGTCTTTCTTCTCTTCTGAAACTTGGTGAGTTGGATCCACCATATGTTGGATATGACTCAACTCTTATAATAAATATAACAATTGCAAAAATTGCTAATAATAACAATTTATTCATTTTATATTAATATTTAAATATAAATAGTTTTTTTTAAAAAATTATTATTATTATATTATTTTTAAAAAAAAAAAAAAAAATTTTAAAAAAAATTTTCCACCATCAAAAAAATTAAAAAAAAAAATTAAAAAATAAAAAAAAAAAAAAAAAAAAAAAAAACCCTTTGGTCAAATTAGTCAAAATATGTAATTCACCGTTGACCAAGTTTAATCTATTTATTTACTCCTTTATTAATTTTTCATAAATATCAATTGATCCTATATATTTACAAAATTTAAAAAAATTAAAAAAGAACAAAAAAAAAAAATAATAATATCTTTAATGTATTATTATAATAAATTAAAAATGAAAAAAAAAGATAAATATCGGTCTTAAAAAAATATAGTTTTTATAAAAATAAAAGAATAACTTATTACCACACACACACTCAATTAGTATTTATTTTTAAATTTTTGATATTTTTTAAAAAAACATAAATCAAATTTGTGTTCCACAAGAGGATTTTTATAAAATTATTTAAATACAGATAAAGTTTAAACTTTGTTTTTTTTTGATATTTCTATTTTATAATAATTTTTTAAATATATTCACTATTTATAAATATAGTAATTATATAATTAAATTATGATAATGCAAAACTAAAATAAAAAAATAAAAAAAAAAAATAAAAATTTTAATAAAAATAAAATAAAAAAAATTTAAAAAAATTTAAAAAACGAAAAAAAAATTATTATTTGTTAATAATTCACACACACAAATCTCCGATAAACAATATTATTATTTTTAATAATAACTTTTTTACATGTACATTTTAAATAAATAAAAAACAGCAATATATTTTTATAGATAATAATTTTTGAAGGAGAAAAAAAAATGAATAAAAGACCATTTAATAATAAACAAGAGAAAAAAGTAAATAAAACAGTAACAGCTGGGTCACCAATAGATAGGTTTTTAAAGAAATCAAAACATACAAATAAAACACTTCATAATAGTAATAATCATAATTATAATAATAATAATACTCATAATAATAATAGTCATAATGATAATCATTTTAAAAAACAAAAAACAAATGATAATCATGAAATATCGAATAGAAAGAAAAGAAGAGAATTTGAAAAGAAAGAATTAATTACTTTAGAAACACTCAGTAAAGATGATAAAGAATTGTATTGGAGAAAACAAAATTTAAAGATTTTAGAAGAGAACAAACAATTATTAACAGGCAAAGATAGTAAATTTAATAATGAGTTATTGAAAAAAGTTAAAAAGCAAAATTTAACCGATACTCAATTAATAGATTTATCAGAAAAAGTAAATATGGTAGTAGAGCAAGCCAAATGCTATCGTGATCGTACAGTTATACTCAGAAGAATGGATGAAATTAAATACGATAGGCAATTAATACCTTATGGCAAGATTGAGTTCAGGATATTTGGTTCATCATCGGTAGATTTAGCATTAAGCAAAAGTGATATCGACATGGTAATGATTGTAGAGAAAAATTTAAAGAACAATGAAATGCGTCAATGGGTTTACAAAATGGCACAGGTACTTAGATTCTATGGTATGGAAAGAGTGCAACCAATTCCATTTGCAAAGGTCCCAATTATAAAATTTTACGATCCAAAAACTCAATTCGATTGCGATATCACATTGACTAAAGACTCTGGAAACACACAGGTTGTAAGAGAATTTTGTAATCACTCCCCATCCCTTTTACCATCATTAGTTATATTTTTAAAACATTGGGCTTCAAAACATGGTATAAACGACGCATCATTAGGAACATTATCTTCATACTCAATTACCAATATGATCATACATATACTTCAATTAAAAAGCCGTTTATTACCATATAATCAATTAAAAGAATCAGATCAATCATCTTTAGAAATAGCGGAAACAAAATCGAAAAAGAGTGAACTTGCAGAAATTTTAATTTTCTTTTTTCAATATTATGGTTACATTTTCAATTATAGATACTCAATGATAAATATTGCAGAGGATACAAAAGATCCAATAAACAATAAAAAACCAATCGAGAATGATAAAAATAATAGTGACAGATTTTCAATAAATATAGGTTTAAATAATAGTAGTGGCAGCAGCAGTGGTAGTGATGACAGTGATGATGAAGGTCAAAAAGGCCCATGCAAACTTTCATATAACGATATGAAAGATTTATTTTATATAAAAGACTGTGTAGAAGGTCATAATGTAACAAGATGTATACAAAGAGATAAATTATTAATTATAATCAAAGAATTTCAAAGAGCTTATATAAATTTAATCTCTGGTAAATTACCATAAGAATTTAAATTTAAATAAAACAGAAAAAAAAAAAAAAAAAAGTAAAATGATCATATAATATATTGTATCATTTTATTTTTTTCACATCACGAAACGACCGAAATTTCTTTACTTTTTTTTATTTTATTTTTTAATTTTTTTTTTTTTAATTTTTTTTTTTTTAATTTTTTTTTTTAAAATTTTTTCAAATTCATTATATTTTTTTTTTAAACAAACCAAATCTTTTTTTTTTTCATTTTAATTAATTTAACACACACTTAACTTTAAAAAGAAAGAAAAAAATGATAAGAGGTGTTTCAAATTTAAGAAAAAATAAGCAATTATTTGCTTCATTAAATGTAATATAATATTTGTTTTAATAAAAATAATTTTGATGAATACACACTGTTTTACACAATAATTTAAAAACTAAACATAAACATAAATTAATGATCATAATTATAACACATAAAAAATTATATAACTAATAACTGATAACTAATAAAAAATAAATAATAATAAATAATTATTAAATATTAATAATGATAAATCATATTTATAATAGTATTATTAATAAAGATAATTAACTAATATTATTATTTATTTTTTTTTAGAGAAATGTTTTATTAAATAATAAATTTACATCAACTACCACAGAAAAATCATTCAATATTTTAGATGGTACAGTTGATAAAAATTCAGTTGAATTCAAAACCAATTTAAGTAGTATGATGGAAACAGTTAAAGAATTAAATCAACATCTCGAAAAGATTAAATTAGGTGGTGGTGAAAAATTAAATCAAAAGAATAAACAAAGAGGAAAAATGTTAGCACGTGAACGTATTGATGCACTTATTGATACTGGATCACCATTTTTAGAGTTTTCACAATTAGCAGGTTTTGATATGTATGGTAAAGATGAAGTTCCAGCCGGTGGTATTATTACTGGTATCGGTAAAATTCATGGTCAAGAATGTGTTATTGTTGCTAATGATAGTACAGTCAAAGGTGGTACTTATTTCCCAATCACTGTTAAAAAACATTTAAGAGCTCAAGAGATTGCATTAGAAAATAATTTACCATGTATTTATTTAGTTGATAGTGGTGGTGCCAATTTACCACGTCAAGCTGATGTTTTCCCAGATCGTGATCATTTCGGCCGTATTTTCTATAATCAAGCCAATATGTCATCAAAGAGAATTCCACAAATTGCTGTTGTTATGGGTTCTTGCACTGCTGGTGGTGCTTACGTACCAGCTATGGCTGATGAATCTGTTATCGTTAAAGGTACTGGTACAATCTTTTTAGGTGGTCCACCACTTGTCAAAGCTGCTACTGGTGAAGTTGTCTCTGCCGAAGATTTAGGTGGTGCCGATCTCCATTGTAGAACATCCGGTGTAACTGATCATTATGCTCGTGATGATGCTGAAGCCCTTGCTATCACTCGTCGTATCGTTTCAAATCTTAACAGAAAGAAACAACCATCCGTTACAATTACTCCAGTTGAAGAACCACTTTATCCATCTCACGAACTTAGCGGTATTGTTCCATCAGATTTAAAGAAAAATTTCGATATGCGTAAGGTTATTGCCCGTGTTGTTGATGGTAGTCGTTTCGATGAGTTCAAAGAACTCTATGGTACCACTTTAATTTGTGGTTTTGCCCGTGTTCACGGTATGCCAGTTGGTATTGTCGCCAATAACGGTATTCTTTTCAGCGAAAGTGCTCTTAAAGGTGCTCATTTCATCGAATTATGCAACCAAAGAGGCATTCCATTATTATTCCTTCAAAATATCACTGGTTTTATGGTTGGTAAAGCTTATGAAAGCAAAGGTATCGCTAAAGATGGTGCTAAATTAGTTATGGCTGTTGCTACCGCCAGAGTTCCAAAGATCACTGTTGTTGTTGGTGGTAGTTTTGGTGCTGGTAATTATGGTATGTGTGGTCGTTCATACTCACCACGTTTCATGTATATGTGGCCAAATGCCAAAATCTCTGTTATGGGTGGTGAACAAGCTGCCTCAGTTTTAGCTCAAATCCAAAAAGATAATATGGCTAAAGAAGGTAAACAATGGCCAGCCGAAGAAGAGGCTGCATTCAAAAAACCAATCTCTGATAAATACGAAAAAGAAGGTTCAATCTATTACAGTTCAGCTCGTTGTTGGGATGATGGTGTCATCGAGCCACAAGATACCCGTAGTGTTATTGCTTTAAGTTTAAGTGCTTGTTTAAATCAACCAATCAATCCACCAGAAAATGGCTTTGGTGTATTTAGAATGTAAAAAAATAAAATATATTAAATATAAAAACTAAATCTTTTTTTTTTTTTTTTTTTTTTTTAATAAAAATCTTGGTTCCAATCAAAATTTTTTTGATCAAATTAATTAAAAATAAATACTACAAATGTTTTTTATGGTTAAATTTTTTTTTTTTTTATTATTTTTATAATTTTTAATTATTATTTCTTTAAAATTAAAATTATTTAATTTTAAAAGAAATAATATTATCTGTAGGGGAGGGGATTTTTAAAATATATTTTTAAATATATAATAACATTATTAAATTAATATTAAAATAATTTTTATAAAATATTGTACATTTAAAAAAAAAAAAGAAATGATTATTTTTCGTTTAATATATATAAAAATTGAAAATTCGGAAATGTTGATTTAAATCGGACATGTTGTATATTTGTTTGTTTGTTTGTTTGTTTGTTTTTTTTTTTTAGAAACTGGTAATCATACGAACACCACCAAAGTCACCAATACTATGTGGAACAGTTTGATCTTTTGGACAAGAGATGAACATAAAGTTCTTTGGAATTTGCATGGATTGAGAAATTTTTTGAACAGTTTCTGGAGTGAATGAAGCATTTACCCTAATTAAATCTAATCTGATCTTTGGATAACACTTATCTAAAAATTCCATAGTGCTAGAGAATGAGTCAGAGGACTCTTCAATGTCGCAACAGTGGACTACTTTTACCCAATTGGTAGATTCGTTATCTCTAATATAGAGGATAGCTTTATTTAAATAAGCTGGATCATCTTTTGAGGCAAAGAAAATAATTGGTTGGGAATTGATTTTTTTAATAGAGTCACCTAACCAAGCTGAAACACGGTCTCTACCGGCACCAGATAAAATAATTTGAGTAAAGAAGAGGAACATCTTGAGGATACGGGCACGAATAAACATTAACATAATGATGAAAATAGTGACAAGGAAGTAAATACCGAAATAGTAAACAATTTGAGCTTCTCTAATAATGTTAGCAGCCAAACCCATAATAACAGAGCAAAGTGCAATTAATACACCTATCCATGGAGATTTAATTTCTCTTCTGAGAGATGAACGTTTGTATTTTAATAACATGTTACCAATAGCAAATAATGACATTACACCAAGGAAAGCTACAGTATAGACACCACTTAAAACATCGGTATTACCATCGACAATTAAAAACAATGATGAACAAATACCAAAGAATAAAATAATAATCCAATGAGTAGTCTTTCTGAATGGATTGGTTTGGATGAGGAATTGTGGAAGAACACGATCTAAAGCCATACGACGAACTAAACCAATGACACCAACGTATGAAGTAAGTACTGAACCAGCTAATACTAGTACAGCATCAATACCGACCCACATTTTGAACCATTCGCCAAAAGCAACACCAGCAACTTTTGCTAAAATACCACCGGATGTATCTGAGGCAATAACACAAACTCTTTCAAAGCATAAATTTAAGAAACCAATTAAAGGATTGAAAATACTGACAATAATCCACATATTTCTAAGAGTTTTTGGGAATACACCTGGCTCTTGTTGTTCGATGAAATTTGATGAGGTTTCAAAACCAGTAACACCAAGCATAGCAGCGCCAAAACCAAAATAGATTTCTTTAGCAAAGTTTTTATCTTGATAGAATGGAACAACGGTTTGATTGTTTACTGTTGGGCAATCGCCGTCTGGGTTATACCAATTTTCTCTTAAGATTGGGAATGTAGTTTCGTGCTTCATAAAGAAGAGAATGAAACCTCCGACAACGAAAATTGTGAGAGTAACAATGTGGATTGCAAAAATAACAAAAGCTACAACGGCAGATTCACTGATACCAATAAGATTTAAAACTGCAAAAATACCTAAAAGAATAATAGTTGCTGCTTTAACATTACATCCTTCCCATAAAACTTGTAAATATGACATTGCTGATTCTGCTGATACTACTGCTGTTGCCATATATGAAATCATAGTAAGTGCAGCGGCAACAGCTGCAACTTGTTTGGTTGTAGTATTTAAAAGTACATTGTAAGCACCACCGTTCAATGGTAATGCGCTACCAACTTCACCATAAACCTTTCTAAATAAATAAAGTACAATAATAACAATACTTAATGATACTGGTGCATATTTTCCTGCTGCTGCTGTGCATAATGATGATGTATAAAAAATTGAACTGGTAATCTATATTTTTTATTAATTTCGAATTTGATTAATTTAAGTTTTTGAGATTTTATAAAATAAATAAATTTAATTAATTTTTTGATAAATTTTTTTTTTTTTTTTTTTTTTAAGGAATAAAAATATTTACATCATTACCACAAATAGCAGTTGCAAATAATTGACCCATCTTATGTTCATCTGAACCATCTAAAACTTCAATTTTATCGACTTGTGAGCCTGATAAATCCATTTTTGCTTCTGTACCAACTAAAACATCTTCGCTTTCGCCAATATCTGAATGATTTCTGTGTGTGAGTACATTATCCATTGGATAGGATGATCCGCTGCCTGCATTAATATTTAAAGTTGAAACGCTGCCGCTACCTGGATACATAAAACTATATGGATCTTTATCACCACTAATAAGTGGTTCTGTCTCTTTGTCTCTACCCATTTTATATATTTATATTATTATTATTATTCTATATTATTACTATTTATGAATTTTAAAAAAAAAAAAGTATAACTTAATTTTTTTATAGAAAAAAAAAGAACAATAAATGTATTTTATTAATAAAACACACACGCTCAAAATTAAAAATAAAAATAAAAAATTATTTTAATTTAAAATAATTTGTTTATTTATATATATGTGGGGAACTGTGGTATCTTTTTTTTTGTTTTTTTTTGTTTTTTTTTAAAAATTATAAGATTTAATTTTTCAAAAAAAAAGAAAATAAATTAACAAAAAAAGGTTTTTTTTAAACACTGAAACAAAAACAAATAATGGTTATTATTAGTGGGGTGATTGCTATTAAGTTTCTACAATTGCAACTATCGTTGGATGGCAGTATTAATAGTGTATATTTTGTTTTGTTTTTTTTGTTTTTCTAAAAAATAAAAAAAAAATAAAAAAAAAAAAGCAATAACGACACAAAAAAATTTTAAATTTTAAAAAATAAAATTAAAAATTTTTTTTAAAAAAAAAATAAAAATAAAAAATTTTTTTTTAAAAAACGAAAATTGAGAGTAATTGTTACCAGGGTTCTGCAGATACTTTTTTTTTAATGGTAAAATTCTCCCCTCCGGCCCAAAAAAAAAAACTTAAAAAAAAACCCAAAAAAAAACCCCCAAAAAAAAATTGGTTCGGGTGATGTTTGAAATTTTAATTTAATTATTTTTATTTCTATTATTTTTTTAATCCAATTTAAAAATAATTAAAATATTTTTCTTTTATTTTTTAAAATCCATCGGGAAATAAAAAAAAAATTTTTTTTTTTCAAAAATTTTTTTTTTTTTTTTTTTTTTTTTTTTTTTTTTTTTTTTTTACTTTCCTAAATTTTGAAGTTTATTTTCTTTTTAATTTCTGATGAAGTTAAATAACAAAAGAGATTTAAATTAATTTAAATTTACCAGGTATAAAATTTAATAATTAACAAAGTTTAATATAAATGAAAAGTAAAATAAATCATTATGATTGATTTTTTTTTTTTTTAAATATCGGATTTTATTTACAGGGGAAAAAAAAGAAAAAAATTATTTACATATTAAAACTATTGTTTGTTATTATTATTATTATTATTATTATTATTATTATTATTATTATTATTATTATTATTATTATTATTATTATTATTATTATTATTGTTTTGTTGATTTAAAATTAATTGATTTTGTTCAATTGAATTTAAAAAAATTGTTAATTGGCTATTTACTTGGGTTTTTTGATCTTTTGCACACAATAAATCTTTAACAGTTACAATGCTTTTTTCAGGTTTTAATGAAAGAGAAGCCTCTCTTCTTAAGAGTTTAGCAAAATAAAGACCACATGCATTACAAAGACTTTGTATACCGGCGGGTCCTTTTCTCCATTCAGGTGATGATGTGGTACCACAACTGGTGCATTGTTTAAGTTCTCCACTAATTTTTCTTTTTTTATTTGCTATATTATCTATTTGTTTTTTCTTTGAATCATCACAGTTGGAGCTATTGTTATTACAAATAGTATTGTTGTTGCTTTGGGAGTTTGTACTTTCTAAAGAGGATCTAAGTTGGTTTTCTCTATTTTTAGCTTTTGATTTTCTAAACCTTCTTGGACGTGTTAATACTGGTACTCTTCCCTCATCATTGTTTCCAAATACTCTTGATTTGGGTTCGTTTTCAATAATTGTTTTAATTGATATATCAATGAGTTCAACTTTTTCATTTAGTTCTTTTAATATATCTTTTACCTTTTCTAAACCATTAACAAAATCACCACTCACCATTGATTCTTTTGATTGTTTCGAAATTGCTGAACCCAAATCCCTTAGTTCAATAAAGCTTTCTAAAATATTTCCTGATTTTATTAATGGGGTCGAGTTGCTACTATTGTTTGTGGTTGTTGTAGTTGTAGTTGTAGTATTTTTATTTTCATTTAATGATTGCTTATTATTTTCGATACAGTGATCAATTTGATGATGATGATCATTGTTTTCATTAAGTTTAATTGATTGGTTTAGGATTAAGGTATCATTTTGACATGGGTGTAATTGAAAGGGGTGGTGGATTTGGTTGTGAGTTGGAACAAGTTGATTTGTTAAAAGTGGTGTGGTATTGCTTGATGATGGGTTTGAAAGTGAAAATGGTGGGTTTGCATTATTTAAAAATGGTGATGATGGGTAGGAGCCAAAGTGTGGGAGGAGATGTGGTGTTAATGGAACATATGGAATGGGTGAGCTATTTGGTGAACCATTAGTTGTGCTTTGGGGTGATGAGGGATGGATGTTATTTAATAAATTTATATTATTTTCATCAATTGAATTTGATCTTTTATTTTTAATTGTTGTTGATGTTAATAATGGGGAGTAGTTATTTTTTATTGGTAGGAAATAATTGTTATTATTTACACTATTTAAATTTGGACTACTTAATAATCCACTATTATTATTATTATTCATATTATTATTTATAAAATTTTTATTATTATTACTAAAATTATTTTTATATGAATTATTATTATTATTACTATTATTATTATTTAATTTAAAATTATTATTATAAAAAAAATCTTGGTTGGATAATATCATTTGTTGATTTGATATGTTATTATTTCTATCCATTTTATAATTTGATGTTTATATTTTTTAAAAAACAAACTAAAAAAAAAAGAAACAAAAAAAAAAAAAAATTATTTAAATAATATTTGAAATAATAAAAAAATAAATAATTTAAATAAAAAAATAAATTTTGCTTATTTAAATATTTTATATAATAATAATAATAATAATGATAATAAAAATAATAATAGAAATAATATAGATTAAATTGAACAAACAAACACTCACACATTTACCTAATATTATTGTTAATGCTCTATTAATAGTGATAAATCCCCCCCCCCCTACGTATATATTATCTTTATTTTAATCAAAAAAGATAATAAATTACTATTATGAGGTAGTGGTTGCCAAGTATTAAACATTGATTATATAAATTATAATAAAAAAATGGACACCTCCCTATAATTATTTTTCTATTATTTTAATGTTTTTTTTTCGATTTTATAAATAATCATATGTTTTTAAACAGCATAAAAAGACAATCCTGTGGGTGTCTGGTGTTAAATAATTTTATTTGTTTGTTTATTGGTTATTTGAATGAATGAAGAATTTGGATAGTTATAGTTTTTTTATTATTAAAAAGGAGAAATCAAATAATAAAAATTTGTATTTAATATAGAGTCATGATGATAGCAATAAATTATAAATTATTGTGTTGTGAAGGT